TTGTGGCGGGAGCTCTTTGACGCGCTGTTTTCGGCGAAGAATTGCGCGCGCAGATTTTGACAGCGCGAAATACCTACTTTAGAAGAAATACCAAGCCTTAAGTGTCCCTACTGGTGTCACCTCACTTGTGTCACACGTCATACTTAAAAAAAGTCACACAAAAAAGCACGTCCAACCAACCGCACGCTTATGTAATGAATTCTAAACAGATAACATTTTTACATAATTTTATGTACATAAAGCGTTACAGACACTGAGCAATTAGTCCAAGTACTACTACAGACATGTAGCTTTTACAAATTATAATGTGAGTTAAAATTCGCTGAGGCTCTTCTGACCTTCCTACCTCTGTAGAATCCTGCATGGAAAAAACATCGTCTTCATATTTAAAGTATGATGTTAACATCAACTTACCTAAGTAAGTAAAGGTAAAGTCAAAATTAGGATAACTGAGCTCGAAACTTAATAATATTCACTCTTAAAATGTAAGATTATGTAGATTCGAGTGAGGAGTTTTCTAGCTTACTGAACCAAACTTATGGTGATTAATTTGCTGTCTATTAAATGTTCATTCACTTGTACAGTCTTTACTTGTGTTTTGAAAGACAATAATGTTATTTATGAATAATTCAGAAACGTTCTAGAACCTCGCCTCATAAAACGCAGGCCTCATTTCTGTGATCTGTGGTATTCCTACTCAGTGGACAGATAGATCTAATTGTCGATTTTAGACGACAATAAAGATATTGTGAGCTTATCTTCTGAAATCAATAAAAGATAACAATAAGAGTAGGCGCACACCGGTGATTTTTAGTTGGCCGATAGTTGAGCCCGATTTTGAGAATCGGCCAAATCGAATCGGCGGCGTAGTGTGCGCACTCCCATACATGCCCATACTGATCAACTGCCCGACTAAACTATCGGCCGACGATAAATCAACTGTGTGCGCCTACTCTAATAGTGCGCATCTTGAGCAAAACGCCTGGGTGCGGAAAGCGCAAGAACGATAGTTGAGGAAATGCTTGAGGCCTCTTTTCATCAGTGGAAATCTTACTTTTGAAAATGAATGATTGCATCAGTCGTCTATATTCTTTAATATGCCTAACCTAATAGACGTAGACGACTGACAATACCTTCCTCAAAATCATCATAACATACATTTTAACCATTTTCTTCCCTTCTTATTTATGAGTGTGAAAGGCTAAACTTACGCTTTCACGTTTGTTTTCGCGATTGTCCCGAACAAGTGACTGCTCAAATGTTCTCACAGTATTATTACGCCTAAAAAAAGCGTCACGCGCTTACACCGACGCATAACTTCGTGTAACTGGTGTAACGTAGGCCCGCGCCATAGCAGAAATACTTAACGGGACTATTCCCACCTCTCGTTCCCACCACTGCAACTCCTGTGTAGCCAGGATCTACAGCTTGACCGCCACAAAAACCCAACCAATGAAGGTCAAGTTTGTCCCGGGGGAAAGTTAAACTGTCATTGGACCAGCAACGAAATTAATCAGAAGAACTTAGGAGGAGTTCGAAATTAAGGTTCGACTTCCCTCCATTGCAAAGCGGATAACAGGTGACAAACAAAGGTTTAAAAACTTTAAAAGAAAAGATTAGCAGAAATACTTAGGCTGAGTTGCACCACTTAACTTTGATCGTAACTATAACGATAGCCGGTGTTTTTTGTTGGATTTTGGTATATTTTTGACGTTTGTCTAAGTTAAAGTAAGATGCTGCTGCAACCCAGCCATAATGTTAGGTAGTTTATACAAACAAACAAACAATAAGGCTGAGTTGCACCACCATATTTTAACCATAACCAATATTTTTGTATGAAGCTTGACACACCTTTGACGTTTGTTAAAATTAAAGAAGATGGTACATTGTGCCACCCAATCTAAGTAGTGGACCTTCTAAAGCGGTAATCAAAAAAGTTTACTAACTCAACCTGAATAACTTTGAATAGTTCGTTCGAACATCAGTAAGCTCTATAGCTTAATTTTTAGACTTAGTCTACTGAACGGGTTTTGATGAAACTTTACAGTATTTTTTTTGTCTTTTTATTTTTTTATCCACAATGTGGAAGCTCTTGGCCTGTATCTCACCTGATGGTAGCTAAGTGATGATCAGGCCGAAGGTAGCTTCACCCGGAATCCTCAACCACGGACGACTCAAATCTGGAATCATTCCAATTCCGAGTAATAATTTTGTGAAAAGCGAGATAAACGTAGCACGACTACTATTTATTACTCAACTGTGATATTGCAGAGTCAAGATGATAGGATTACCTAATTTTTTTGACGTAATAATTAAAACAAACAATTGTAAATATTTCCCAGCCAAATTCTGGTGCTTAGGTAGTAAGATAGTACTTAAATTATGTGTAACTAGCTGACCCGGCGAACTTGGTTCCGCCTTAATGGCAATAAATAACGGGATAAAAAGTATCCTATGTCCTTCTCCTGGCTCTAAACTACCTCCCTGACAATTTTCAGCTAAATCGGTTCTGCCGTTCTTGAGTTATAAGTGGAGTAACTAACACGACTTTCTTTTATTATATAGATACCAACTGACGTTACGGATATTAAAATAATATTATACCAATTTCGGTTACGGTTACGGGTAGTAAATGATTTCGGATTATCCGAAAGTTTCGGATAATTTCGGTTACGGATAATAAAACTTTAAAAAGGCTAAATTCAAATAGCAAGATGCTGCGCGACCCACAAAAACTTTATGTAAGTATGACGGTGCCTATGATAAAGGTAAAACGGGCGGGTACTTATAACAGAATGGTGCCAGGGGATGCCAGACAAGTAACAAATATTATAAATATTACGATTTAGACTGCGCCTTTATCCGAAACTATCCAAAACTTTTGAATCGGTTTCGGTTACATTTACGAATATTTTTTTATTTCGGATATTCGATACTTTTGGTTACGGTTACGGATATCCATAACATCATTGATACGAAATCAGCAGATACCAAATCGATGTAGTGTGCGCACTTTCATGTACAAAAAATATGTGAGTAGGTAGTCTGTATTGTCTAATGCAAAATTTAGCTCAAAGGACTCTGGGAAATAGGTCACAACACAACTCAGATCCAACGTGTAAGGTGACTGCACATAGACAAAGCAGACAACATGTCTACTAGGTGTCCAGCATCATTATAACTTAGGCAGATTGTGCACACCACCGCAATTGTAAACTAACGAAGTCAGAATTTCGGGTTACGGATTAACGAGGAATCTTTTTATTAGACGCAAACTAACAATGCATATAGGTAGTAAAACAATTTCGCAGTTCCCCGTAACCGGAATACCGGCGTTTCCAATTTGCTCCGTTCACTCGGCAAAGAAAAATCCAGAACGTTTTGTGCCTTGTGTTACACCTAGTTAGAAACAGCTAGTTTACTCTGCACCGAGAATTGGGCATGTCACTCACGACTAGGGTTGCCAGGTGTCTGGCTTTTTAGGGACTTATCCGGCCAAATCGCGATCCGGCGTGATCGAATCAGAAATGAGGAGATCCGCAGGAGAACCAAAGTAACCGACATAATATCTCGCAGAATTGCTAAAATCAAGTGGCAGTGGGCGGGGCACATAGCTCGTAGAGACGATGGCCGTTGCGGCAGGAAAGTTCTCGAGTGGCGACCACGGGCTGGAAGACGTAGCGTGGGCAGGCCTCCTACTAGGTGGACCGACGATCTGGTAAAGGTCGCGGGAAGAGCCTGGATGCGGGCAGCGCAGGACCGTTCATTGTGGAAAACCTTGGGGGAGGCCTTTGTCCAGCGGTGGACGTCATTTGGCTGAAACCAAAAATCCGGCCAAAAAATTTCTTGTCCGGCCTGTCCGGCTTTTGTTAGGCTTTTTATCGCGCCAGTCGAAAGCATACATGCGCGTATTAGGATGTTGGGCTACCGATTCGAAGATGATAGTTGATAGTACTCACTCATGAGCTATGATACTAAAAGGCGTGTCCGACTTTTAGGGTAAAATGTCCGGTCAAATTAAGCACCGAGTCCGGCTTCTGTGTTTTTGGAACTGGCAACCCTACTCACGACGGTAAACCCCTTTGAAACCAACACTTTGAAATTGAAAATTGGCGTACACACGTCCGTTTAAGGGTCACTGTTTTTTTCATTTAACAAAGCAAAGCTAGCTTTACAGTGCGTAGTGTTGTCCACCCTCTTTTATCGATATACGCTAATGTTACTACACAAAGTTTATTTTTTTTGCTAAGCATTAACTAATTAACCGTAATCAAAAATAAATATTACAAAGAAAGATATTACTAGAAACATGCCCTGTTCTTAACCAAATCATCTTCTTCCAACTTGTTTCGTTCAAAAACTTCCTTTCAAAAAAACCTTACATCGATTTTTATTTAATATTTAGCTACATTGCCCAACACTATTCCACGGATTGACACCTCAATCGCGTCACGTAGGTGGTGGGAAATGGGAGGGAAATACGATTGTAGATAAACTTATATGTGATTTTTCAGTATGTAATGTAGGTACCTCCTTACGCGTGGTTAATGCAGTTTTAGAGCAGGACAATATTGATATTGTGAAGGTTTTCAGAGATTAGGTCTATGCGTTTGCGACTTGTTTCTAAAAAGGTAAAACGCCTGATAGATTTAATTGTATTATCCCAAAAAATCAACTCGGACATGAACTTAAAACTAACTTGCCTGAAATGTTACTTTTTTGATGAAGAATAATTTTGTTAAAAGGTAAAAATATCTTGTGTCTCGTCTACCACCAAACCATAGTTTGTTTAATGACTTTCAAGAAATAATTATGAAATTGTATTGCTTCTTCAGCGTGTTCCATGCTTGTTGTGCTGATAACTGTCAAATTTTTAATCCCGATTGATGAATAAATTCAAGAATCGGAAAATGTTTAGCCGTTATTTTTGACGGCCTTTCTAGCATGGTTTGCAGACCAGACTCTTTACAAACGATTTGTAACTGTGCCTTAACTTTCAGATGAAGGAGTGACGAAGACCTTTACTTGCGCAAGACCCTTGATTGGACAGCACGTATTCCTGCAACTGGTGGGGGTGGAGGGCTCGCTATCCCTGTGCGAAGTCGAGGTCTTCACGACCGAAGGTATGTTTTATCCTAATAAATTCTCGGGAAATGTTTTAGCCAGTTCTTTCGTTTCAGTCCACTGCTGGACAAAGGCCCAAGTATTTCCACAACGACCGGTCTTTTGCAGCCCACATCCAGGTATCCCGCGACCTTCACCAGATCGTCGTTCCAGTGTGAAATTGTGTCAGTAACGAGCAAAAACTCTGGCAACACCAATAAAATCGTTGTGAATGGCAGCAGAAGTGAGTACAACGTCACTCGTCATAGGGCACACTGAAAATCAGTGTCGTGAGCTGTCGTGGCCTTCATCACCGTAGATCACATAGAATGGGATCCCATCTTTATCTCGTTCATATTGGGTCAGGATAGCACTTCTCGATGCAATTTTTCGGTGGCGCCTGAAAAATCGTAGTCTGCATGGATCCTTACTGAAACTGTACAGCTGCACTTTGCATGCAGTTAGAAATCCACTTTTATTAGTATAAAAAACGAAATTAGTTTATAACGCAAAATATACTCGCAGAACCTTCGTTGTAAGGATAATAAATAGAATTGAACTCTTGTGAAAATAATATTTACTCTTTAAAGATATTCTTTGCCTCATTGACTTGGTTTCTTCAACAGAATTCTCGAACGACCGTTGCGCACCGGCTGGGGCCCCGGCGGACATCGAACTGGCTGCCTTCTCTCGGAACTGCTATGAGTTCAACGTAGCCAAGGGTGGTTCCTTTGAAGAGGCGAGGAAGCAGTGCCAATCCCATGGGGGTGACCTGATCCATGGCTTTCAGGTAATGAGAACTCTAACATATCTAATGGCCGGCCGTTGTAGTGGTTCGAAACAGACTACTATGCCGATGTCGCGGGTTTGATTCCCGCACAGTACAAACATTACTTTTTTATTGGTCTGAGTGTTTTCTATCTACAGGATGTTAGGTACGAGTAACTGGATTTATAAGCCGACACTAGCCCATGTTAACATGTGCATATAAATGGTATGAATAAATCTGTTTGTTTTTAAAGAGGTTCATGCAATCCTCAATAGATGGCGCTGTAACCTTACGCGTCTACAACACACCTCAACAACATACAACCCTGAATCGCGGTAGCTAAGTTTTTCGATTTGAGTTATACAAATACAGAATGGGCCTGTTCCCACTTAGATGGACCGTTTGCTTTCTCGGTCCGTCTAAAAAGACGGATTGGCCAACGGCTGTACAATTCGTATGTTACTCTTCATATTTAATTTTATACGGGCAAATACGGACCCGTCGTGAACAGTAACATGTCAATTGTATTGCCATTGGCGGATCCATCTATTTAGACGGAACGAGAAACAGACGTTCCATCTTAGATAAAACAGGCATTTTGGCGGGAATTATTTGGTCGGACAAAGGTCCCAGGAGTATACGAGTATAATGCTCTTTTTGTTATTATTTACGAGTATGATTTTTATTGAAGCTTTTTCCTTAGTTTATGGCTTTTGTAGAATAAGGTGCATTAAGGATAAAAAAGTTCTGAGATGACTCACCAGAATATTAGTATATTATGTGCTACAAACGTTTTTTAATCAATATCAATTTTGTTTTTTAATAAAAATTTCATTGTGCAGTGATACAATTGTGTTGCTTACCTTCAAACCTTCAAACATTTTGGTGTAACATGAAAATCTGTATTGTTTTAACAATTTAATTATGTAAAATTATTATCAAGAAACAAGATTTTTTTAAATGTTTTAAAAAGAATAAAATAAGTTTAAAATTAAATCAAAAGCTCGATCTATATCTCTAAAAGCGAAAGGTCACTGATTGACTGACTCATTCATCACGAAATCTCAGAAACTACAAGTAGGTACAAGTGCTAGGAGTCTCAAGTTTTGCATGGGGGTTCCTTTTAGAATGTACCTAGATGCTCACTAAGACGGGATTTTGCAAAATTCAACCCCTTAAGGAGTAAAACAGGATCCACTTCCACACGTACGAAGTCGCGGGCGGCCGCTAGTATATTTTAAGCTTGTCGTGAATACTTTGATTTGTCTCGGGACACGCCAAAGTAAAAATGCATTTTTTTATTTTGACTTACCTTATAAAATCTCATAGTAAAAACAAAAAAATTGTTTCACTCTAAAGTGGAGTTAACTTGGTTTGAAGTTAGGCGTTACTAGATGGCGCTGAAACATTACCTCTATACAAAATACCGCGCTGGCATACAAACCTGAATCGCGGTGACAAAGTTTTCGGTGAGAGTTCTACTAAATATAGAACCAAAGCGGTATTAGATCGGCCGAAAGGCCTCCGTACTCAATTGTCTTGATCATCCGCAAATGTACGGGTAACCAGCCATTATAATGGTCACAATCGCTCAGCAGAAGCGGCGCGGTCCAGTAGCTCATGTTAAACGATCCGAGCTCACCTGCTACCTCCATGTGCTAGGTAGTCAACATAAACTGGCTTCGTCGCAAAAACACCTTTTTTGCTTACTTATTAAACTGAAGTCATGAAAGTTATAGTCCTAGTAGTTTGTGATTTTATTTTTTGGTCAAATGAACTTGTGGACTTATTTTATGATAGATCACTTTGATAAAATGCCACGGAAGGATTTTTAATGCTACAATTGCAATCTTTTAATAAATAAATAAATTACACTGGACTGCAAAGAAAATGGGTCAGTTAGAAAATCTTCAAAGTACCTGCAAAACATTAAAACCGACCGACCAGCCTGCTCAGTGCCAAGCTCAAGAAATGTTCTAAATTTACCGGCACCGATTCCAAAAAATCATCATGGTATATAATTTGGTATATAATTTAAAATAAAAAACCTGTTTAATGATATTAATGCCCGTTTTCACCATCAATCCCTAATTTTTAAGTGACCCCTATAAAAAAATAAATTCCTATTGTGTTACCATAGGGGTCCCTTAAAAATTAGGGATTGAAGGTGAAAACGAGCATAAGACTATAGTTTTCCATTTAAAGGGTAAATAAGTTAATCTTCCTTAAAATACAGGCTACCTACTTTAAATATCGGCAACTAAAAAGTATCATCTAACACCTAACTTACGAAGTTTGATCTTTCATCATCAGATCACCCAAAAAAACCTGAAATAATACAACTTTACTTAAGTATTTAAATTCAATTATTTGCACAGAAACATGGTACAATACAGATGTCAGATAAAACAATTAGGTTCAACATGTTTCGTCTACATGACACGCAAAAATTTCACAATGTCAAGTAATATTTTTATCAAATCATAAAAATATTACTTGACATCGCGAAAACCCTTATAGTTTCGAATGTCTGTCTGTCTGTCTGAGGTTTTGCTTGGAAACTATTGGCACTAGAGAGCTGTAATTTTGTGGAGGTTGGCTAAGGGGTTTCTAAGACTATTTTTCCATTTTGAGATCTGTTTGCAAATTATTAAAGTTTAAAGTGCCAATTTTTGTTCGAGTAAGCCATTACACACATTAATACGTATTTTCACAGCGCCCATACACATCCTCGTACGACACATTTACCTCGCACAGCTTTGGTGGAGACCCCCCACACATTTTCACAGCACAGCTAGACATCCTCGCACGACACATTTTCCTCGCACATCTCCGGTGGAAACGCAGTCAACCTGTGGACTTAGGGTGAGGCCCCATTAGTCCGTTGCGATGCGTGCGTCGCATCATAAAAAATATAAGAAAACAACTTCGCTACGTCGATGCTGCGACGTTTTCCATATATCCTACTAATACACTCGTCGTCAAATAAATCGCACCGCCCGCGACAAGCACATTGAAACGTATGCATCCCCACTTCCCACCAATATTGGCACCATTTAAAGGCCTAGTTCTAAACTTAAAGTTCGCGTCGCGGAAGGTGCGGTTTATTTGATGTTGAGTGTATTATAAATGCGAAAGTTTGGATGTCTGGATGTCTGGATGACTGGATGTCTGGATGTCTGGATGTTTGTTACTCTTTCACGCAAAAGCTACACAATGGATTTTGATGAAAATTTACAGTATTCTTGTTTATAACCCAGAATATTAACATATAGGCTTTAATTTATGACGATCTGTGTCAAACGAAATTTCACGCGGGTGAAGCCGCGGGCATTTTTTATAACGCGACGCAGCGCAACGGACGTATGGGGTTATATGAATATCTGTGGCGGACACACGAGCGGTGAGTGATACCACAGAATAATAATAAGTACCTACTACGTACAGAAGTTTTACTTCGCGAAGGTATTTAAAAAAATGTATGCTCAATGTCATTAACAATATGGTGTAATTTAGCATGTCTCAAGAGTCAAGCACCATTTTGTTGACAAACGTCAGTGATCGGCACTGCGCCGAAGCTATAGGGCTGACTTCGGTAAAATGATGTGACGTGATCCAAACTGCGGAAAATGGCGGAGGAAATACATGATTTAGCATGAATTATTATGAATAATATTAACTAGTTATTTACCTCTCAGTGTCTTGAGGCAACTTAAAAAAGTAGGTACATTCTGTGTTTTTATTATTATTTAGGCAGTTAAATACTGCACAGTATTTAGTACACCATTTTCTTTATTTTCTTACATCATACACAAGAATACGCGTGCGTGAGTCAATGTTCGCTCGTATGTGAGGCCTTGTCGAATAGTATCCTGTAGGTGGGCCATCGTGCGTGTTTTGTTTTCGATGTACTCGCGGAGATGAACAGGCCTGGTGATACGGCGAAATCTTTGCGGTGCGGCGTCGCACGCGTCGATTTTTGGCTCATTGTCACATTGCCAGTTCTTTTCGAACTCTTCATCCGTCACGTTGGAAATTGACCTTTTCTCTCATTGTAATACGGTGTGGGAAAGTGATTAGCATCACAATACACCGATCGGGAACAATAGCCTGATTACAATATTATGTACATGTACAGTTGCCACTCAATACTGGATGTGTTCATTAATGAGTGATATACATAGTTGAACTATTAAAAGTATAGTTAGTAGGTAAGTACGAGTATTAGTGGTTTAATCGCCAGTTTAGTGTAGTGGTTCGTAATCGTAACGGACTACTATGCCAGTGTTCGATTCCCGCACAGTACAAATATTGCGTGTATGAACTTATTTGTTGATCTGGATGTTTTCTATCTATAAATGTATGTGTACCACGTACATTAATAAAACACAATATACATAGAAGTATATAACTAGATAACCTACATAAATAAATGGACGTTCGAGTAAACAGTTCTCTAATCTCCTCACTACAATAAGTTGAGATGCAGCGCACTTAAAATCGCAGGTATTTCATTACTTCGCATTATGAGAAATGTTTCCACAAAAGTGTAATAAACAACATTGCTAGATAACTCTGAAAACTTGCAGGAAATCAAATTAATTCAAGCAATGCCTGCTTCCAGAGAAGAATTCTGCTTATTACAGTTAGGTACCTGAAAAATGTTTTCATTTGACTTGATAAAACTTGGCGTCCTCTGAAGATTTTAACGTTTCATTTTACATTGCATTTTTACGGAATACCTGTCAGTATAATAACTACTTAACTCATATTTGAAACGTGTTTGTTACGACGCAGTTTTTATTCGCAGATACTTCCAATAGCTAAGTATGCTGCTAAATAAGCTGTTTTTTCCACAACGAGGAAGATCTTGGCCTGCATCTCACCTGAAGGATAGTGATGATCAGGCAGAAGGTGAAAGCGAGCGAGCGATAACATTTGGTGAATAAAAAATATGTTTTCGAAACTTGACTGGGTTACATCATCTTACATAACTATACTTAACAAACGTCAAAAATCTGTCAAACTCCATACAAAAAACACCGAGTAACAAAGTAGGTGGTGCGACTAAGCCTTATTGGTTCTATTTCGAGTGAGGTCGAGACGAACCACGAATGTCATCGAAATCAGGGATGTTAAGGATATGAAGTTTCGGTTATGGATACGGTTACGGATATTAGAATAATATTATACCGGTTTCGGTTACGGATATGAAATCATTTCGGATTATCCGAAAGTTTCGGATAATTTTGGTTACGGATATTAGAATTTAAAAAATGTAAAATTCAAATTCTGCGTGACCCACATCCACTTTATGTAGGTACTTACTAGGTGTCGACCTATGATAAAGGTAAAATAGGCGGAGATATTAGATGGTGCCAGAGAATGCCAGACAAGTAACAAATATTAAATAATGTAAAGATTTAGACTCCGCCTTTATCCGAAACTTTTGAATCGGTTTCAGTTACGGTTACTGATTTTTTTTTCGGATATCCGATAGTTTCGGTTACGGATATCCATAACATCCCTGATCGAAATGCAGACGGAAGATGTCGTTACCTGCTTCCCCGCGCCTCATCCCAGCGGCCAGAGGAATCCGTAATATGCAACCGATATTATGATTTACCTGGTACTTATTTACTCGGATATTTTTAGAGGAAATAGCAAATTTTTATACTGATTCTCTTTTCCAGTTAAAGTTAAAATTATAATTTGATTATGAACCCCTCCGTGGTCTTGTGGATAAAAATAAGACTTTCGTTGCGGGTTAGAATCCTATTTGATTAATAATGTGTAAAACTTTGTGTTTGCCCGCATTATATTATAAGGAAATTGAAGGCTTGAATCACTAGGTACCACGTCCAAAAAGTATGATTGAGTGCCTCGGAGGGCACATTGAAGCCGGTCCATTCAATTGAGCCAGACACCTATGTCGGCTCATTAAATCTGAATACCAAGACCTGGTTGCAACAAAAGATAAACGATTTAATGCATCACAAACAACAATGTTTCCGCTACAAATTTTTAAAACAATCTTACCTATCTACTATTTGTTACTTGTTAAACAAGCTTAGCTAAGCTAATAGCATTTTCAACATACCAAACTTAACATTGAAATGTAACAGTAAACAACAAAATCAAATGAAGTAAGTATGTCACCGTGAATACTCGTGTACAAAGCATAATTTGATGAATACACTTTTTTACACCTGAAATACGGGTTCTCTGAAACCTTCTTATATCAGGCTCCAGTCTCTCACACACAAGATGCCTCAAATAATGTAATATAGTAATTTTGTTTTTGTGTGTGAGAGTAATATGATTTTATGATGAAATAAATATGATTTTATTATTTTGTTTAAAATTTCGGGAATTTAATCACCACGTATTTTCCAATAACCTACAGATTTTAAAAACAATATACCTACCTACGCACTAACGAAACAAATTATTATTATCATGACAAAATTAAAGCGAATTGTGTTCGAGATTTTAAAATATCGGAAAACTTAATAATGGGACGGATATAAAATTTGTTTGTGAAGGTTTAATGAAATTATTGGAAGCCTGTGAGCTCCGCGATTTTGATTAAGCCAAAGCATTGTTCTTTCAACTACCTACCACTTTTAATTACGTTAATTACTGTGCAGATGATGTTGTATTAAAATCTCTGAGATATAAAAATAGTCTACTAATAATGCACGCAAAGAATGGCTTGAGATAGGTAACAACAAAAAGCTTTTTATCATGAAAGGCAAAATTAAGTTCTGAATTATTGAATGAAGTAAATGTCATAAACAGGTGGATGAAAATAAAAGTCATTTCGCATTATACATAATTAATTTTACAGTATCTCATGTAATGTAACTGACTGACACGACTAATGTGTTTGTCACCGTACATAACCTTCCCATTTGGTATCAAAAGCACCTTTCAAAATATTTATGTATTTGTCGTTACACGAGTCTCGTACCTTGACACTTTTCAAGCAGATTTTTCCTTTGTTTTCATCTTTTTCAAACAATTTTAGAAATCTATAGAGAGAGAGGTTCGCACTCAAGAGGTTCATAGTTTGATTCCTTGTATGGCACATACAGTGTAAAATCACAAAGTTTTATGTTGTACTAGTCTAGTCATACTTAAAAATCTTCCTCTTGAATCACTCTATCTATTAAAAAAACCGCATCAAAATCTGTTGCGAGTTTTAAAAATCTAACTATAGGTACATAGGGACAGATAGACAGGAAGGCGACTTTTTTAATATGTACCTAGTGATGTGACTTTGTGTGTAAGGTACTTGATACAAATAAGGCCTACCTAACTTTAAATGTTTATATTTCAATAAATATTAACGCTAATCAACAAAAACAAATGTAATTAACTTCTTCCACCTTTTAATTTTAACAATATTACAAAAAATAACTCAATTTTTAACAAAATCTATTCAAAATAAGCAAATTACGAAACCACTGATTTTGGCTTTAATAAATCACCTACACGGAATAAGGCCTATATGATTCAAATGCCTCTTCAGTAGTCAGTCTTATAACATTAAACACGTCGTTTTGTTTGCGTTATCAAAATTTTACATAACAAGTAAACAGAAATATACTGTATCTGTATCTCTAGACAAACTTAAATTCCACTTATTAAGAAATATACATAAATTATAGATAAAATTAAATATTCATAATAACAAAGTAATGATTCCTTACATATATTATCAAAAAAAATTACAAAAACTAACAATATTATTTTTTTGTATGAGGCTTATTAAAGCACCGTGTTCGAATAAGGCCTACACATAAAACCTTTTAAATAAATCAGTTTAGGAACATCATTTAGTCTTGAATTTTCGTAAACAAAATGAGATCTCAATTGTTGTTAGAACCAGGGCATAAAAAGGCTTCTGAATCATCTTTACGAACTCCTACATAATCTTTGTGATACCACCAAAAGCAGTCCTTTATGGTCGTATATCTGCTACGTTGTCTTCGAGACAGGCATGATAATACCAGTTTTTATTATTCTTTCCTTTAGAATTATACATACGGCTTTTTTTCTTAAGTTTTATTGGTTTTGTATTCTTTTTTCTTTTTTTACAGGTTTTGTAATTTTTTTCGACACTTTTTTCTTTTTCTTTTCTGTGCTGTTAGTAACATTATTTACTGAATAAATATTTAGTTACTCAATGACTCATTTAGATTAATTAATTTGTCCATAATCAGGTGTTGACATAAGTATCTAATATGGCCTACCATGCTGAAATAAGGCCTAGGCCTTATTAGACATGTCGCACTTGTTGTCTTTAAAAATTTACAAATAATGCATCTATAGCCAGTAGTACAAATTAAGGTAATTATTAGCTAGTAAAAAATATTTAGAAACGATTACAAAGAAAAGCTTAATCTAAAACAGCGTCATTTTACCGAAAATTTAAGATGAAATCGCCAGATTTTTATAAGAGAGCACGAAATCACCCACCACCTTAGAAGAACGCGTGCCAATTGGTGCTGGGATCATGGATCGGGACGCTTTTGCACTCTACCGGGTTATAGGGCATATGAGTACGTATCCTTGAAATATTATCCCGGCTGGATGTATTTATCTGTGTTTTCTGATGTATAGGCCTTATTAGAACGTAGGCCTTATTTGTATCAAGTACCTTATTTGTACAAGTTTTAAGCACTTTTTGTAATGCGGACTTTAATCCGATATCCGATCCATTTCTCTTACGCCTCATAAAGTACGACAGCAGTGATGTAACTTCGATAGATAAAAACCACACGAAAAAAGTTGGAAAAAGACGAGCTCGTTAAGTAACTACACTGAAAACCAGGGTCGCGCCATCGTTAATTAATGGTTTTATGTATCCTTTTTTTTAATTAGGGATAACAAACAATTGTAAAACTTTTGTCTTTGTGTGATGTCCGCAATGTAATCAATGTTTCTTAGTGTTTATTCTTGATTGCTTGTTCTTCCTCAGGGAGCAACATCGAGCTTCTTGATCCAAGAGCTGGAGCGCCGCAAGTCCAAGCTGAAGACTCAACTAGTCTGGATCGGGGCCCAGAAGGAGCCCGGCCTCACCTCCAGGACTTGGAAATGGGTGGATGGTGAGTACGACCTGGTCAAGGTAACTGCGCACCTGGCTGGAATGCGACTCTCCCTCGGGCTCACACACACTTCCCCGTGGCCGCCCTGTATTGTTGTTGCATACCCCGTCGGGTCACGGTCCAGTGGGTCTCATAGAGACGGTGCACACTAGGCGACACGCGACAGCGACAGCTCGGCAACTTGACCCCTGTTCTTGTCAATTTCATAATAATAGCTTTTTGTCGCGAATCCGCGACTCTGTCGTGAATTCGTGATCTTGTCAGTGTCATATATTAAATTGACAAGAATCGTCGCAAAGTCAAATACAAAGTCGACGCGATTGTCGCCTAATGTACGCCTACACTAATGTACAGTTGTTGACACATCAGACTAACACATTTTGGTGCAAAATCACCCATATCACAAAGATGTCACAGTATTTACCTTAATGTGTCGTCGTCTGTACAAAATTTCACTCAAGAAAAGGAAAAAGTGTTTTATGAAATACAAAAAATGTCTTTTCTAATAATCATTAATGTCACGCGGCCCGTTTTTCGGTGCGACATGTCCCAGCCCAGACAGAGCGCGTTCTTACGCGCAAATCTTTAAAAGCATTTTTTACCATTACGGCTTAAATATTCCATCTTGTTTTCCCTTTTGGCCTTGTAAATCAATAATGTTTTTAACAGTTTTTAACTCTTTATTTAGGAAGCTTTGTTAAGATGACAAATGTCGCTCCATCAGACAGTTGTACAATGTATTTGTGTCTTAGCTGTGGTCTTAGTACCTATTTAATGTTCAGCAGTGGACGTCCTATGGCTAAAATGATGATGATGATGATGATCTAAAATTGGATACCTATCAAAAAAGATATAAAAACATAGTTTAAGGCTCTCGCCCCCTCCGATATATACTAACGTTATAAATCATAATGAAATAACAATTAAACATCGGCCCCTATTCAACCTCATTGAAGTCATTTGCATACTCCGTATAACCTGTGGTCGACTTCGGCGCGCGAAAATCAATCATGTTAGTTTTTTCCCGTAAACGTGTGTAAAGCGCTGTGCTTTAGACAGACATGCCGTTACTCATTTGCGGTGGACACATTTGTAAGTTCTGTACATTTACCGCTACAATTTTATGAAAAACGATGCTTGTAATTTTGAATACGGATTATTGTTGATACCTACTCTTACTTGGCTGAAACCGCTCAACGCTTATCCGAGGCTATTGGAAAACTTGGCCAACACTCCTCACATTATCCGTCCAGGCCAAAACCAAGTATTATGTATGTTCTTGTGTCATTAAATTAACTAATAAACGTTTAATCCCCAGGCGAAGTGGTGACCAAACCTACTTGGGGCAAGGACCAGCCGAACAACTACAACGGCGAACAGAACTGCGTGATGCTGGACGGAGGCCGAGCCTGGCTGTGGAATGACGTGGGCTGCAACCTCGATTACCTGCACTGGATCTGCCAGTACCGTGAGTGTCACCTATAGGTACATATCGACTTTATTTGGTTGCGCTGCGAAGGTGCGACGCGAGATGGTAATAACCCACAAACGTTCTCCGAAGTAGCTTTGTGACAGTTTCATCTGTAATCTTACGTCTTTGTTGCGGGTCCAATGACAGTTTAACTTTCCCCTGGGACAAACTTGACCTTCGGTGGTTGGATTTTTATTGACGGTCAAGCTGTAGATCTTGGCTACACAGGAGTTGCAGCGGGAACGAGAGGTGGGAGTAGTCTCGTTACTTCTTTGTTTTGCAGTCGACATTTACGCTGCAAATTCGTTTGTATCGTTACTGCATAAGATTGCGACTGGACAATGGACATACTCATACCACTTCTATCTGTGAATTGCGCAATTGAATCTGTCACAAGTTACTTTGTCTAAGGACGCACAATGCTAAGCTAATTTGAGATGTCACCAAGCAGAACTCTAGATATAAAAACGCTAAAAGATGGTTCACTAGACTTGGAAGAATGATAAACAATTATATTGTAGTAGAACCACAGGTTAAATACTAACAGAAGGTGCATTCGTTTGAGGATGCCAATATTGCCAATTGAAATGTCCTTACAAGTGGCAATCAATTTCACACCTTATAACCACGAGGGCGGAAGCGAAGTTTCTTTGTATTCACAATATAGGTACCAACACCACAACTGTAGCGTCCAGTGTTGCGAGCAAAGTAAAAAAATTAAACTTGAATGCAAATAAATGAATGTGATATTTATTTGTATAAATTTATTAAAGTTGAGTGAAAACAGTTGGGGCTTTATGATGCTTCCGTACTTTTAAGTTTTGCTGCGTGACACAACTTTACGATTAAATTTCAACTTCACTAACTAATTTATTGTGGAAAAAAATACAAAAATGGGATTGACAGTCATTGATAAAAATTGTGGTCCCTATAACAAATCAATTATGTGACTATCGCTCAATCCAACAAACAATATGACAATAACATTGCTATGTTTCAAAACTTTACGCGAGTTTTAATTGATTTGTGCTGGTAGGTGCTGGTACATTGCATATGCGATTTTATTTATGCTGAAGATTATTTTGCTGTAAGCGATAGAAAGAATCCATGGGGAGGCCTTTGTCCAGCAGTGGACGTCATCTGGCTGAAACGAACGAACAATGTAGTTGTCGGTCCAATATACCATACTTTTCACTATGCTAACTTAGATTATTGCCTCATTTCATGCGGTTGTGGAGTTTGTTGTTAGGTAGAAACCAATAGATATGTATTTATGGATCTCTCCTTAGATCTAATACTTATATAGTACATAATGCGCTAATCTCTGGCACGTGCCAAACTACGAATTAGTAATTAATAAATATGCAGTAATAATGAGAATGTAATACCACACAGTTCATCCTACTAATATTATAAATGCGAAAGTTTGGAGGTCTGGATGGATGTTTGTTACTCTTTCACGCAAAAACTACTGAACGGATTTTGATGAAACTTTACATTATTATTCTATAACCCAGTAACATAATAGGCTATAATTTATGACGATCTGTGCTGTGACAAACTAAATTTCACGCGGGTGTAGCCTCGGGCAAAAGCTAGTAAGTATTAGGTACGCAAATGGTACACCGATTAATAATAATAAGATCATCAGACATGCATGAACATGTTGTGGGATTATCAAATTCGAAATATTTTGTATATCGCTGAGGGTGGGAGAGTGGCGAGGGGAGGGAATTGCATCCCGCAAAACCTAATAGAAAAGGCAAATTCTGGAAAAGACTGGGTGACAGAATTCAATATTTTTTTTATTTCTTTCTATTGCTTTATTTACAAATACAAATATTTTATTATGAAACACATGTTACATTGTCATTACAAATTAGCCATATCCATTTAAGCTGTCCTAGGATAAGGCTGCTCTTCACAATGTTTAAAATTTCCAACATGAGTAGGTAACTAATAATTTTACGTTTAACAATTCCACGAAACTCAGCAATATGTTTATAAACAAAATTTTATAAAAATCTCTATGAAAAACATAAGAAATTATCGCACAGCTTTTATTTATACCTAATCAAAATTCATAGATTAATAGTTTTTCAATTTAGATTTTATGATTGGTATTTATAATTATTACTCAGTGTGATAATAGGTAGGTACACTTATGATATTATTATACGAAACTTAAGATTCAATCCACGTCTGTCCATCATTCTTACTTCAAGCCAAGTGTTTAGCATAAAATAATCCTGCCTAAAAGACTTTTGTCACCGTGACAATATGTCTCTCCATAGTTAAGAATAAGTACTATGTTGTTTCTCTTTTTCTCTTTATAAAAATGTAAAAGAGAAAAATGTATGGTCACGGACCACGCGCACGGTGTCAAAAACCCGTGTGCGCATAGCCTAATGCGATTAATAGCAAAACACTGCCCTTGGTACTATTACTTATTCTGTGACACTGCCACAGGTAGGTTAGTGTGTCTGATTTACTAGTCAACATTCATTTTCAGACGGATTCATTCGTTCATTCAATTTATAGACGCCGACTGAGCTAAAATAATCAAAATTCTTAGAAATGAGCTTTTATAAATTTTAATATAAAGTTATCGTGTCAGAAATTCATTATTTAAAAATAAGTATTGCCAAATCGGTCCAGACTTTCTGAAATTAGCAACAGTACTAACAAAGTAAAAAAAAAAGTCTTTAAAATTGATTCAGTATTAATTACTTACACTTGAATATTAAAAGTGAAAATTTCGAAGCGAAAGCAAATAGTTCCCTTGAATAGTTTCATTCAGGAAGATCAATTTGTTAACAGCAAAGACTGAAGTTGTTATTGAATGCAAACAAGGGCCCAGGAAATGTGCAATCAAATAAAAGTAATTCAAAAGATTAATACAGAAATTAATTACTTAACGACCGACCAATGAAGTTGCAGCTTACACTTTTTACTTTATTTGAGCAATGGATTTATTGTATTCATTAACTCTTCCTTTTACACTTTATTAAGTATGTACTAATTAGAGCCGTTACTCGATGGCCTAGCCCTGGCAAACGGCCCGAGAGAAAATCCTTTGTCAAATAAAAATACAAGCTTAATAATCTAAGCATAATTCAAAATCATTGGCCACAAGAAAACTATTGGCGCACAAACAATTTTCTTGTTTTAGTAAAATCTGTTTTACAATGTTGTGTTTTTAAAATTGTTTGTTTAGCGTCACAGACCATATTGACATTTGTGTGGTCTCTGTGCTCTGCGTCAGAATGTCTGCGTGCTACGAAAAGAACAGACTAAGAGCTGGTGAACGCCAGACCTACGTCATTTTATAAAAGCTGAAAGTTTATCAGCGTATGCTTCCAATAATAGGATATAGTTAATGTTGGTGAATTATGAAGTTTGGGTCATGGTGGCTTTGCACCACCCTAAAAATCTGATTTTTATGTATAATATTTGGGCAATAATTAGAAGTATTTTCCCCAACAGCCAGATAGTTTTGACAGTTCCAACTCCACCATGCAAAGCCACCATGACCCAAACTTCATAATTCACCAACATAATGTCCTATATTGGGAGCATACGTTGACAAACTTTCAGCTTTTATAAAATGACGTAGGTCTGGCGTTCACTAGCTCTTAGTCTAGAATTCATGTGTAACGTACCTGTCTGTGTACACTGGGTCTACTTAGTTATCCGGGACAGGTGGTTATCCGGTCGCGATCCGGTCTCGCGTGATGTTTGCTGAAAAGATTGCAATTACAGAATCCGGATTCGTATTCTACTGGATAGAATGAATCGCTACGTACAGACAGCGCATCGGACTATACATTTTTATTGCAAACTCAACCATATTCCAACTTCTTAAGAACACACAGTCCATACGCTGGCATCTATAGGTAGGTACGTTTAGCTATCAGAAACTCTGCTATCTAATACCTTTAAAAGTTCCTTTTAATCTCGTAGCGCAAATCCAGTCAGGTTCTTACATTTTGTGTGGTTTATTGAAAAATCGTTTTTAAGACGAGCTCAGACAGTCTCCGATTGTCATTACCTACGCATTATGAATTGGCTGAAGGGATTAGGAATGAAGTAGGGTAAACCAGAGAGTGATTGCCCACAGGTAGTGATTGCCCGCTTTTAGAATAATATTGTCAGGTGCTGACTTTGAATCACTCTAGTTAGATTTGAATTTACTAAGTAGATGACTCCGAGATCAATGTACAGTAGATATGTATATTTAAAATTTACAATAGGAAACACTAAAAAAAAACAGTTATGGCGGATTTTGTTACTGAAACAGGTAAAGACTTTAACAATTTTACTAAGGAATTACTTGCTTAGAGGTTAATTTTTTTTTGCAAGTTATTTAATATTCAACTAATGGTGTATAGTCATGACGAAATTATAAGTGTTTTCTCCATTATCAATGAAAATAAATGATAAAATTTGATTCCTAAAGGTCATTTTAACGGTGGGTAATCACTGCACGTAAATCTGTATATTTTTAGTTATTGTCCACCATCATTTCAGTTATTGCCATATGTTAATGTATAGTTATTGCCCAGGGCAATTATTATTAGAGTGTTGCCACCATGCAGTAGTAGTGTTTAAGTTGCTCATTGCTAGACTTGTTTTGCAATTTACAGGCATAAATATTGAAATGGCTTTTAATGTTTCATTTTCAGTAGGGCCAAAGACTCCAAAAGTTCAATATAGCATAGAAAATTTGCAAAAAGCGATCGAAGCTGTACAAGATGTATCCAACAACTTATCTACAAGATAAATTGCTGAAAATATGGTTTGGCTTGAAAAAATTGATAAAAATTCAAACGCAAATACATAAAATGAAAATCCTACGTTAAATCTACTAGTGAAAATGTTAATTGTAAGGAAATAGATACAACTTTAGGGAAGAATAACCAACAGCTAATTGAACATTCTGAGCAACCACTTGAACTGATATAAAAGACGATAAAAAAATAAATACATATAAAATTTACACATAAAATTCAAATTTTTGCGTCATCTATGTTTTGAAGTAGATGATTCTGTATCTACCGATTCTGACTCATCAACATCAGCTCAAGAAATATTTGATAATATAGTTAACTAAGGCCAAACGCAATTTATTTTGAAATTTTGAAAACTATACTACTAGAATTTAAGTTAAATGTTTTGTTTTGTTTATTTAAAGCCTATTTTGTCATTTTAAAATTGATTATTTTGTTTTAAGATACTGGGCAATTACTGTGCTTTGATGTGGGCAATTAGTGTAAGTAATGGGCAATGACTGTACTTTTTGGAGGATTTTAAATTTATTTCAATATTTTCTATGTTACGTAAGTTTTAACTAAAAACTGTTAATATTCTGTTTAACAGTTTATTGAGTTATAAGAAAAAAGTCATAAATGGTCGATAATTAAAATACTTTTTTTAATTTGTCATCTCAATGTGTTTGAAATATTTAAGTTGGCAATAGCTATACCTACGGTTTACCCTATTATCTAACAAATATACTGCTGTAATTGCATAGTGACATAGAAAAAACTGATAGTAACCTTGAACGTGTTGACAAGCAAGTGAAATGAATAAAGAAGTACCTACCTACTGAGGCTGGATGGATGTCTGTTTATCAAAAGAAAAGCTAGGTAACTAATGCTCAGAAAGTTTGGCAACGTTGCACAACCAAGTATGAGCGTATGAGCAACCAGTTAATAATATATATTTTTTAATAATAGGTTTTTTTTTTCTCCCATACAAAACAAGCTTACTACTACTAACATTAAATAAATACTTAAGTATATAATACACAGATATGCTATAATATTGTACAATGTACATATATGGGAGACTGGTACCCAAACTAGGAAAGACCTGTGTCTTGGGCTACCAGGCTTCAGACCTGCCAAGTAACAAAGAAAATATGTATACCTACATTACATATATGTTACAGTGTATTACATCAATAAAAATATTCTTATTCTTATTAACAAGTCTGCGATATAATGCGTGCCAAAAACAAAATAAAGTTACTGGTCAACTAGCTATTTATACCTGGTGACTCTTGAACCTCCAGCAAAGAAGTCATTGCTATTACATTATAAGTGTTACAGACTAAAGTTTGTAACTGTAGTATCAGATGCAAGGTCAATTTATTAGTATTCACCACGCTGTCACCACGTCCCGCCCCAGTCCTGTTCTCAGCGGTGACATTGTGACAAATCAAATCATGCTACAGTGTACTGCTGTAGCTGTAGCTGTACAGGGTGAAGATGACAAATAATAAAGTCAGTTAAAAGTAGGTCACTTTTGTAGTAGTGACGTTCGCAGTTTTCGTACCTTACGAAATGTTATTTTGTTAGGTTATTTTATTAAGTATTTAATGTTTCTGTAAATGATTTGATGTCAATAGATAAATATACCTTTCGACTAAGGAATTTTAAATAGCTTACTAAAATAATAAATTTTAAGCTTCTGGAACTTGGTGCCCAAATCATAAAACAGCTTAACGAAATAATAAAGCTATTATGTACATATTATACCAAAAACTTTAATCATCTATTAGGTACTTACCTATAATAAATCTGTAGAGAGGTCAATTCTGTACATTTGTACATGAAATATATTTTCAAAATAACTATCAGGGGGTGATTAGTGATCGATACTGATGCCAAAAATGCAATCAGTAAAATTTTTGTCTGTCTGTCTGTCTGTATGTTCCTTAAAGAAACAAAAACTACTCGACGGATTAAAATCCGTTAAAACGAAACTTGGTACAATTATTCTTCACACTCCTGGGCAGGTTATAGTATACTTAGAAATTCCCACGGGAACGGGAATTAGCAGGAAAATCCTTTTGTATGAATAATCTAAACCGCTTAAGTTAGACACTTGAAATTTGGCATGCAGGTACCTACCTTAGTGAACTTAAAGCTTAGTTACAACAGGATATTGCAAAATTCCCACGGGAACGGGAGTTAGCGGGAAAAAACATTTGTATGAAAAAATCTTAACCGCGTAAGATAGATGAAGGGGGTAAAACGGGATCCACGCGTACGAAGTCGCGGACGGCCGCTAGTTTTTAAATAAGAACATTCATTCCACAAAATCATTAAATGTTCATACTTAGTCGACACAATTTTCAAATGGTGTAAAATTGATTTTTTTTGTAAGACTGCATTTTTAAAAACTAAACTAAAAGCGGGTAGGCTTTATTGACAGAAAAATCGACCTACCCTCTCTCTAAGTTCACTTCTAAGTGGAACTTGTTTTCGACAATGTATGACAATGCTCACTGATGCTTATCTACTGACTGTGTCAGATTGCGTATGTTTTCTTTTTGTGTGTTTCGTTTACTTTTAATGGAACTAGGTGCTATATTCCAGACAGAACGTCTGGAATTTAATGGCGTATGTGTGAAGTGTTTTACTTATAGGTAAGCTTAAATGTAACATTTAGACAGATTCCATTTCGTAATCGCTTCGCTGAGTTATTATTATGTTTCTACTAAGTATTTTTCCTTTTACTGTGGCACAAAAATACGCCAGTGTCCTCTAGTGTTCGAAAAGACCTTTAACGTCCTAAGTACCTTTTTTCATCGCGTGGAAAATTCTGGAACAACCTGTCCACAGGACAGAGAGTAAGTGCCTAACAGGCATATCAAAGGTTACACCTATGAAATGTGCGTAAACAAGAATTTGTAAGCGGATTCGGGGTGAAGCCACCTTTTTATACGAAACCGCGATAACGAGCTCGTCACCGCGCGTAATAATCACTCAAACATGTCTTATGTTATGGCGCCTTAAATTTTTAATTGTGTGTTATGATTCGGAGCGAATTTTATAAAAGTGTCTTGCTATGCTGAAATAGGTACCTACTTCGTTTTTAATTCTACATAAATGACCAGTTATTCTGTCTGCAGTGCCTCCGTCGTGTGGAAGTCCGGACAAGCTACTGAACACAACAATTGAAGGGAACGACTACAAAGTCGGTGCCACCATTCACTACCGGTGCCCGGAGGGTCACATGCTGTTGGGAGACAAGACCAGGGAGTGCCAGGAAGTCGGCTTCTGGTCTGGATCAGCACCGAGCTGTAAATGTGAGTATCATTTTTTACTGTCAGGGGATTTTTCAGACATCGTGTGGAACTGTGGAAAGGCCTTCTACTAAGTGGACCGATGACCTGGTAAACGTCGCGGGTAGAACCTGGATACGGACAACGTAAGACCGGTCGTTGTGGAACTGCTTTTGGTCCTTTGTCCAGCAGTGGATGTCATTTGGCTGAAACGACAGGGGATTTTAGGACCAGTGGAGTTCAGTAGGTAACAGGGCATTTTATTTCTGACGAAGAATACGATATGTAGGCGTATGCAACATATCAATACCTACTTAATTATAATCACAACCACAAAGTATATCATGAAATATGATATTAATTCACATCGTTAGTAATCCATCGCAGGCAAGTATTATGATGAATCGTTATTATCCCAATCCCAACTATATATATATTATATATATTATCCCAACTAATATTATAAATGCGAAAGTAACTCTGTCTGTCTGTCTGTCTGTCTGTCTGTCTGTCTGTTACGCTTTCCCGCTTAAACCTCGCAACCGATTTTGATGAAATTTGGCATAGAGATAGTTTGAGTCCCGGGAAAGAACATAGGATAGTTTTTATCGCGGTTTTTGAAACAGGGACGCGCGCGATAAAGTTTTTCTGTGACAGACAAAATTCCACGCGGGTGAAGCCGCGGGCGGAAAGCTAGTATATAATATTATAAATGCGAAAGTAACTCTGTCTGTCTGTCTGTCTGTCTGTTACGCTTTCCCGCTTAAACCTCGCAACCGATTTTGATGAAATTTGGCATAGAGATAGTTTGAGTCCCGGGAAAGAACATAGGATAGTTTTTATCCCGGTTTTTGAAACAGGGACGCGCGCGATAAAGTTTTTCTGTGACAGACAAAATTCCACGCGGGCGAAGCCGCGGGCGGAAAGCTAGTTAGATAATAATAAATATTAAGACAATAGCCTTTGTGGCTTAGATATCGGGAAGGCTACATCATTACTAATTATTATATTACTTTATGGACATTAATTACTTATTAATTTATAATATACCTAGTACTATTAAGACTAAGAAGATTGATTTATAATAAGTAAGTAAAAGTGTTATGATGACAAGCGATAAAATTAAAGCTTTACCTGTATAACGTAAAAACAACCCAAATAGGTAGGTTACTTACTTACTCGTTACTCAAACATAAATGGTTCCCGGTTCCCGGTTTTGAACCTGCCACTTTCCTCTCTAGGCTGTAAAGCTAACCACTAGGTAAAGGTTGGTCCTTCGTTTAAATAGGCGGTAAAAGGACAGAATTCTAGACATCGTCCATGTTGATTTATTCATTTTGTACCAGAATTCCTTTGACAATTTGGCACGTTGTGTTACCTAATTACCTACCCTCACTACACATGGTGTCACGAAAACCGTTTGTGTATTTAACTGTCAAATTATACTCGTAGTTGTGTTTTAGACTTAAAAACAATTACAACTAAGTACAATTATGTATTTCGATAGGTACTACAAATTAGTACAAATAGGTAGGTACTTTCTTTTATGTATTGGTAGAATCATCATCTTGGAGAAAAAATGGTGATTCTTCAGGATTCACTCGTACCCAGCTTATAACTCATAAAATACATTGGGTAAAAGAAAAGCAGGTTGCCTACATTGTAGGTAATAAACACAACAATTTCCATTTCAGACGTTGACTGCGGTGGTCTGCCGCCAATCCAAGATGGCGAAGTGTCTTTAGTGGACGGTAGAACGACCCACGGCGCTAAAGCGGTATACAACTGTCGCGAGAACTACACACTCGTGGGCGAAGCGGAGCGGCAGTGCGGAGACGGAGGCGTGTGGAGCGGAGAGGCGCCGAAGTGCCTGTTCGACTGGTGCCCGGAGCCCCCGCCAGTGGCCGGCGCTGTAGTCACCATCAGCGGACACAAAGCTGGCTCTCTCGCTACGTACACTTGCCAAAATGGATTCATACTATTTGGACCCCCGGTGAGTAATATTTAACAAATAATATTAACAAACTTCCCCCAATGACTTCCACATCGCACGGTTGGTAGTCGCCTGCGTCCAGCGCCTTCCTGCTACCTTTATACGGTCGTCAGTCCACCTTGTGAGTGGACGTCCCACGCCTATGTTCAGCAGTGGACGTCCTGTGGCTGAAATGATGATGATAATGAACATCATCATCATCATCATCAAATTTAACAAGCTTAAATACATCGCAGCAGTTATCTTATTGTATAAAAATTGGTAGCGCATTTTCTTACATAACTTTTCAATTCCTATCATTGGAGGTCCGAAAATATTTCTCATACAATTTGATACCATAATGAACATTCTTCATAAAAAATTTAAAACCTACATATTTAAAAACATAATCATTGATATTCATAATATCACTAATCATACACTTAGTTTTTACTAATATTTGTTTTCATATATTTTTCTATACTAATGATCGAAACTCATAATCATTCGAATAAATAACTATAATATTCATAAATGTGATGTATCCTAATATTTGTTTTCATAAATTTATTACTCATAAGTGTATTTATCCATATTATTGAAAATCATGATGTCTATATTCGTATTAAATCGTATTTTAACGTTAAATTAATTTGAAATGGTCCAAAACAGGCAATATTTTGTGCCACAAAACTAACGTGACAGAAACGAATCGCTGCAAAACCGACTCCACGTAGTCTTGTCTGCCCTACCCCTAGAGTGTAATTTAAAAGCCGGAGGCGCGGAGGGAGGGCAGCCCTCGCCCGCTGTAACGAGGCTCAGGCGCCCGGGTGAGCTGGAGCGGCTGAGGCTGGTCGCCGAGGCGCCGAAGGCGCCGATGGCGATCCAAAAAGCCGAAGCTGCGGAAGCAAGCGTGGGTGCCTGAGCCTCGTTACGCAAGGGCGGAAGGGCTGCACATCCCGCAGCGCCGGAGACGAGGAGATACCAATGCATGCTGCATGCTTGCTTTCATGCTGCATGCTCTGCATGCTTATCTACTCTATTAAATTATATAATATGATTTTTTAAAGATACGAGTATGTCTGTTATAAAGTAAATCATTCTGAAAAACAACATTATGAGTTGAAGTTTGTTCTTAGTAACAACATTATTAATTAAAACAATATGATCAATGAATGTTATGAAGAAAAAAGATCTGAAAATAAAAATTATGTATTTTAAATGGTTCTTGGTAGTAACAGTATTGATAAAAAAATTATGATTACTAACTGTTATGAGCTCCGATGGTAGTAATAAAAATGTATGAATAAAAAAAGTATGAAAAATAAAATTATGAAGAGAGATTATTATGAACACAAATCGGTAGTAAGACAAAGAATAGGATTTAGAATTTTATGTGAGCCAATATAGAACCATAAAAATTACTTAGGAATTATTCGTATCACTGCATTATTGAAAAATCCCAGTGACAAGTCTTGGGTGAATCGTATACGAGATTAGGTAAGAGTAGGCGCACACCGTTGATTTTTAGTTGGCCGATAGTTGTGTCCTATTTCAAATTGCATGAAGAATCGGCCAAATCGAATCGGAGTAGTGTGCGCACTCCCATACATGCTCATAAAGGTTCCTTGCCAAGACTACGGAACCCTAAAAATGAGAAATAATAACCATAAAACATTAAAAAAAATTGGGGACATTTTTGTCGATAAAATTGACATCACAACATCGCCTTAAATTATCGCTAACCCTATCCCAAACACACTGTATATGGTAGATTTCTATTTCACTAAGCTTAATCAAGTAATATATTTATAACACTGAACTTATAATATAACTATATCACTAAACTTGGGCCGTTTTATAACTATATTCCTAGTGAGATAGTAATGAATCGCTTTCCTATTATAACTATGTTACGGTATATAATTATATCCCTAGGGATATAACTATATTACGGCTTTATCTATCTTACTGCGACACCCATACTGATCAACAGCCCGACTAAACTATCGGCCGACGAAAAATCAACGGTGTGCGCCTACTTTTAAACCACAGAGTAAGTAAGTAACATAAAACTTAAATAGATTGGACCTATCACCTTCCAAGAATCTATTCATTAGTTCAGCATTCAGCTAAGGCCCGAGCAGTACGACTTAAAACCTATCTTCAATTCTCAGATTCAATCAAAGTTCGGGTAACCTAGTGACATTCAAATTGGCCAAAAAGTTACAACACAACCTTCAGCTTCAACCAAACCATCGCCGACAATTATGACAAAGTCCTGTTGTGAACTTTTGGCTACTTTGGGTATCACGAACTATATTTGTGAGGCTCACAGAGGCTAGCACACATCTACTTTTAGTTTTACTTAACTTAGCCTAAGTATTTAAGTAGGTACCTACCTACCTACTAACGCGTAAAATTAAAATAGGGAATAAATTTTGAAAATTGTGATTTCATCAACTTAATCAGGCAATAGGTACTCGTACATAAGTAGCAATGGTTTTCACAGATTCATGCGACGTTAACATTATAAAAACTTGTGAAAAACGCGAAGTTTTGCTGCCTGTTTCACAACGCTCCGGGATCTTAACGCCATCTAGTGATGTTACTTGCTGTCTGTCCATCTATCGCGGTCGCTCATGCCGGCGTTTCGTTTGGAGTGAAAGAGATGGGTAGCCCTGGGTGGAAAATGTGGAAAGGGTTGTGGAGGCAGTGCCGTGTCCCGGGAAACGGCCAGGGTCGGTTTAAAAGCAATGAAAATAACAACTGTTTAAATTGTTATTAATTTAGACAATCATGGTTGAATACACGATCATAGATTTTTGGGTTTTCAGAAACTTAATAGATAAACTTTTATATCGTTCGTTTGTTCGTTTCAGCCTGATTAACTTCGTAAATGAGTAGGTACTTACGATAAAAATTATTTAACTGGTCGATGAGAATCGTACATTATCAACTCTGAGATGAGATTAGTAAACTTACGAAATTACGAGCCTATTATAACTAAGTAAGTTGGATAGAAGTCCGCTACGAACAGCTACGAAGACTACGGCTACGGCAGCTACGGTATTGTAGCGACATCTATTGAGAGGATTTTAATTTAATTTCAATGGTTTCCTGCACCAGCTGCTTTGTTGCAGCTGTATCTTCGTAGATGTCGTCAACTGTTCTATCGGACTATACAAGGACATGTCCTGAAGCAACTTGTGCGTAGATTCTGCCCATATTACTGAAAAGTGTTGATTCTTTGCCTTTGTGGATACTTCTAGGTTGTATAGGAAGGGTGGGATTAATCAGCATAATATGAAACTACTATAATGTCGAACTTAATTATTGTTCTTGCAATTTCAATTCTTATGAAAAGTTCAGTGTCCTGCAGCCGCAACTATGTGAGTGGAAGTTTTTGAAGGTGTAGCCTGGTGACGAGAGCTGTCTATCAGAACCTCATCATCATCAGCCAAATCTGTTGAAAACAATCTTTTGGTTACCAATACTACAATAAGATACTTCTCAGCTGGATACCAGACACACCAAGGTCGTATTTATACAATACTGGCTGTATTACCCGAGGTTGTTCCGCATTTTATTAGGGCGGCCTATGTGTTAATCCAGGGTGTCAGCTAACTACATACCAAATTTTAATAAAATCGCTCCAGCCGTTTAGACGTGAATAAGTAACAAACATACACTCACAAACTTTCGCCTTTATAAGCGCTCCTGCACACGACGCCGCCACCGCGCCGCCGCCGCGCCGACGCCGCGCTGCCACCGCGCCGTCAAAGCATAATTTCACCGGTCCGGCTTTGAAGGCGCGGCGGCGGCGCGGCAGCGGGCTTCACGCGGCGCGAATAAACAGTGCAAAGGCGCGGGGGCGGCGCGGCGGCGGCGTCGTGTGCAGGAGCGCTTATAATGTGTTAAACGTTGTGTGTACGTGTGGTAAACGTTAAAGCATTGTATTTTATTCCAGAGCGTAACCTGCACCCTAGGCGGCGTCTGGTCGGGTGTGCCGGCGTCGTGCAAGTACGTCGACTGCGGCACTCCCGCGCAGCTTCACAAGGGTTCCTTCCGCCTGCTCAATGGAACCACCACATACGGCTCGGTCGCGCAGTTCGCGTGTGAACAGGACTACTGGCTGGCCGGGGCAGAGTCCTTGACGTGCAACAGGGATGGGAAGTGGTCGCATGATATACCGTCTTGTGAACGTGAGTACCTACTGCCATTTTATTTGTATTTTATGCTTTAGATAAACCAACTATTAGGCAGAGGTGACGAAGTAAAGTAGTAAAATAAGTACACGCACCTGGTAAAGCGTAGCATAACGGAGCAGTTGTACCATAGTAAGTACCTACTTATAGTTAATAAATGTCTAAAATTAAAAAAAAAACATCATAATGACTATAAGTATCTCCTTAGCATCTAGTCTAGACAGATGAAATTCCATATCGACTCCATTGCGTATACAATAAATATCGACTATACAAAGTAGAATCATTTTTGCCTTTGCCACAGACGAGATTATTGATCTCACACTTCGTCTATCCCTAAAATATGAGTAGCTAAAAAATCTACTAACATCTACGAGACTTAATAGGGCGTAGATGATATTTCTACCTAACTTGATTGATTTCACATCGTCCAACACTCTAGATAAGACCTCCTTCATTTTCTGATCCGAGGCTACTGGTAAGAACCAAAACCTCAGTTCGTTTTATACATAGTGTAACTATCAAACGTATGTACCTAATGTATGTAGTGGCCCGCGACGCTGACAAACCGCGCGGGCGTAATTCGCTGGGTGCGAAGTACTAGGTGGGGGTAACATAATCTATCGCAGCGCTCATGGTGGTCAAAAGTAGAAATAATGTAAGCTCTGTCATCAGATGTATCTGTCAATGGCAAAGCGATTCTACACAATACATTTTAATATCATTAATTAATCGCATGAAAAGGGTCCTACTGGGAACTTAAATAAAAGAGTGGACTGTATTTCGATAGGGCTGGTTTAATAGCCGTTTACAATTTGGAAATAACTAGACTATACAACGTGGTAGTACAAAAATGAGTCACAGTAGTTGTTGTGCACAGATGTTTGCCTTGTGATGAGAGCGTGAATTATTGAACTCTGCCCTTGTTTTGTTCTTAATTCTTCTACATCTCGGACTTGTCCAGCCAATATCAACAACTTTCCTTTAAATACGGTTTGTGGTTGGAATTTGATATTGTAACACTCACAAACCCGGTCTTCATTTCATTTCGATATTTTTTCACAAATAAACGACCTAAATGTCAATGTGACAGAGCCCACAAAGTTGTGGACGCTAGTTGGCGCTATAATCGTGCACAGAGCCAATAAGCGTGTATAAGCGTGACTGTAATACCAGTAATACCATCCTAATATCATCTCACCGTTCCAGTGATAACCTGCCCCGACCCCGAAGTGCCCTCCGGCGGGTACATGGAAGCTTACGACTACAACGTCCACTCCAGCATCGACTTCCACTGCGAGAAGGGCCACAAGCTGGTCGGCGAGCAGAGCCTGGTGTGCCAGCAGGACGGCGAATGGTCCGGGGAGTCGCCCAAGTGTGAATGTAAGTTCGGTCCTTCTTATTGTTGAGTTAGGCCCAGAACACCAGTTTGAAACCGGTTTGAAATGGTCGCGTTATGTGTGGTCTCTCAACAGAATCTTTGACAGAAACTTAGATGCAACTCAAAAGTAACTATAAGTTGCAGTTTCGTTGCAATTGCGTTTCACCGTGTGTTCTGGGCCTTATAGCAAGTTTTGAGAGTGATTCGTATACCGCAGTGATTACCTTATAGATGGCGCGTAGAACCTGATAAAATGGCAGTTAATGCATGAAAAACCTAACATCTCAGATATTTCTCCTCATGATAAAAATAGGACACTATTGTGTCCATATTTGTGTCGAGGTGGTGATTTGTTTTTAAGTCACAAGGGCTTAAACTTGCCCCGATTGTGTTATTGTTTACTATACTTAGACTTGTTTTTGGTTAATTACCCGATTCTTCCAATAGACGTGGACTGCGGGAAACTGCCGCCTCTGCCTTACGGTGCTTCAGAGCTGCTGAATGGCACAACGCACCTGGGCAGCGTGATTCAGTACTCCTGCACCACAAACTACCGTCTGGTGGGGCCCGTGCGCCGCGTCTGTACTGCCGACTACCAGTGGAGCGACTCATCTCCTAGATGTGAAGGTAGGGACATCAACTTATCTTCAATAGTCGTTAACTGATGCCCTAAGATGCTTGTGAAGGTACGGACGTCAACCTTGTCTTGCAATAGAAGTGGTCTGCTGCCCTTATGCTTCGGAGCTGCTGTTTAAATGTTTAGCAAGGTACTAATTACATCGAAAACATCTAGGTATCTTCACAACGACAACATCCTCGTAAAGCTACTATAGTCATGGATATTGTTATTGTTATGTTCTTCTGATTAATTTCGTTGCGGGTCAAATGACAGTTGAACTTTCCCCGGGATAAACTTGACCTTCATCGGTTGGGTTTTCATGGCGGTCAAGCTGTAGATCCTGGCTACACAGGAGTTGCAGTGGGAACGAGAGATGGGAATAGTCCCGTAGTCATGGATATTGGCATTGTGTTTAATCAGATCCGTTTTCATCAGAAATGAAGCGGTCTAACCCGCCCTCAGGAGTCCAACGCAAATTAATTCCAAATGAGCAAACTGATATTTTAAGTTTACTTTAGCTAGGCTTCATCCTCATGATGAGGCCATTTTGTGTGTGATGTTGTGTTCTTATATACCTCCAGCGTCTGAACTGTCTTTGGAATAAGAAGAAATGTCTCTCATGGATGCAAACTTCCAGAAATCCGTTGCCCCGACCCAGTGGTGCCTGAGAACAGTATCGTCTCTGTCACCGGCAACGACCGCATGCACGGGCGAACGCTCATCAGGACATCAGTCAGCGTGACTTCTGGCAACACCTACCGTATCGGAGCCCTTGTCAAGTACCGATGCGAGCGAGGATACAAGGTGGTCGGCGAGAGCTTGTCGACGTGCGAGGATAATGGACAGTGGAGCGGCACCACGCCAAGATGTCAATGTGAGTGGACCAATACTTTTCGGTTAAAGATGACAGATTTAACTGGCATTACCAGCACCAATCTCAAACGGATCAAGCGTAAAGATTTACATAATTGTAATCCTTATGAAGATTACCTACTTACCTACTATACTTAGTTCACTGCCCAACAATTCTATGTAGACGCATTTTAATTGTTGTTATTGTTTAGACCAGTGTTTTTCAACCTTTTTCATGACACGACCCCCCTATTATGAAAAAGTTTTTAGCGACCCCCCGACCGTTCGCTTTTTTTTTCATGAATTTTATAATGTTGCAAAGATGTTTGTAGGGACCGAAAACTTTAATCCATACAACATTTGCATAATTAGATTTCGGATTTATCTGTCTTTAAAAGAATTTAATAGAAATATTAAATAGATTGTTAAAAAACCCCCCAGGGGGTCGCGACCCACAGGTTGAAAAACGCTGGTTTAGACGTTGTGGCAAACCTAGAAAGCTTGAACCATAGATGACATGCCACATGGCGCCTGTATTCTGATTATGGAATGTCCCTTAACAAGCTCTAACGGGTCGACCGTAGACTGAAAGCCCATTAATGAATTGTTCTTTCAGATGTGGACTGCGGCAACCCTGGACGCATCGACAACGGCAAGGTGACGCTGGCAACCAACGCGACGTACTACGGCGCGGCCGCGCTGTACGAGTGCGAGGAGCACTGGCAGCTTAACGGCGTGTCTCGTCGTCTCTGCCAGGACAACGGCACCTGGAGCTCGGAGGCACCCATGTGCAAAGGTATGCGCTTGGACAATAGTTATCAAGTCACGAACCTTCTGGAATTAAAAGGCGCCGCTGTTCAATGGAATGGTAATGAGACAACAATCTTCTTTAAACACTCATCAAATCGCAATGGATTACAACGGCAAGAGACACTGCTCTCGGTCGACGCCGTATAAATAACACGACCGTTGTGCGAGTGATAGGAATAGTGACAGCTCAACAAGACCTCTGTAATTTTTATAGGTATACCAGAGCCCAGAAGGCCAGAAGAGAAAAGTTATTGTATTAGTAGTTTATACTAGAATATCCTCGCCAGACTGAAGTTTTCTCATGCTTCTTCTTTGTGCAAACAAATAAAATTACCTACTGTGCCTTTTCCAGAAATCACATGCCCCGATCCGTCGATCCAGATCAAGGGCAGCACGGGTCTGGTGGTGGCCACTTCAACCCTCAGCATCGGCGGCGAGGCGCACTACCGCTGCGAACGCGGGTACAGCCTCAAGGGCAACCAGACCAGGGAGTGCCTGCCGAAGGGACAGTGGAGGGGCGCTCCGCCTGTGTGCATACGTAAGTCTTGATTGATGTGCCTACATATTTGTTAGAGTCCGTTGTCATACACAAGTCTTGATTCCTTCTGATGCACACACATTTGTTAAAGGTCCATTGTTTGAAAACGTAAGTCGTGATCCACCTTGTGATGTAAACTGTCTGTTAAATCAAGGTCTGTAGCCAAATAACAAAAAACACCATTTTTATCTCTTACAGCGATAGACTGCAAGGCGCCCGGCCAGATCGAGAACGGCCGTATCATAATATCCAACAGCTCCACCTTATTCGGGAGCTCCATCGAGTACCACTGCTTGCCGCAGTTCCAACGCGTCGGTCCTTTCCTGAGGAAGTGCATGGACGACGGCAAGTGGTCCGGGGAAGAACCGAGCTGTGAGCTGGCCACCAACGAGGCGGCTGAGAACGGAACTCTTCCGTTGAGCGTGGGCGTCGGCTGCGGAGTTGTATTGTTCCTACTAATGCTGCTGGGAGTCATATACTTGAGGCTGTAAGTAGTTTCCTTTATGAGCTTGCAACGGGGCGTCTTAGCTAGCTCAGTCTGACACCCCGCTGTTTAGTACTAAGTCCCAGTTCGCCTTCTGCGATGAGGGATGTGTACCTATCCAGGATGCCTACAGGGATATTCGACCAAGGAAACGCACAATCAATAACACAATGGNCTAGGGCTGTCGATGCGTCGCGGGGCGCGTCACAAGCTCAAATATTTCATTAATTATCGATTAAAAGATATAGGATAAGGTTAAATTAATTTTCCAGTATTGTACGAGAAATTACACTTTTGTAACAACATTCCTTTTCCATAAAGTCTATATTTATCAAAATTCTAAACTGTCATTTTTTTCCAGCCGAAAAGCGACTCCAGTGAAAAACACAGAGAATATCGAAGGCGCAGAAAGAAAAGAGGACCAAAACGCAGCAGTGATGAGCTACGCGACGCTTCACGACACAAACGGACGCCATATTTACGATCACGTCTCAGATAATGTATACGACTCACCGTACAGCGAAAGAATCGCCGATAACGTAGCCTATGGAAGGCGAAGCGACACAGATTCCGCTTACGAACCCGAACCAACTGGACCTAATGCCGTTGTCACCATTAACGGCGTTGCGGTCCGTTGATCAACCTTCAAACGAAACAATTGAAAACTGCACAGCTCGACACGCGTTGAGCTATCCGGCTCAAAGGACCATAGTTAAAACAAACATGGGTAACCAACTGAATCGATTCTATCGATCGTATTCGTGTCTATAGTGTCATATAAATCAGTCAAAAACTCTTATTTGGTACAACTATGTTCCTGTGAAGCTAAATTGTAACATCAATTTTTTATACTTAAATACAAAATTGTTTATCACAATGGTTACCATTTTCCTTAGAGTTGAGTGTTCAAAATGACGCAATAGGTTAGGGAATAGGTAAATGTAGTGATTTCAAAAGGAGTCGAGGGTTACAAAAATGTTATGTGTTCGCTGTAATCACCAACCCTTACTAGGTATTGAACCAAAGATGTAAATGAGTTGGAATTGGTATAATAATGATAAATAAAATAGTTTTTAATTGTGTTGTTATATTGCAAATTTTTGTATGTTAAACTGGCGAGCCATCTGTATATTTATTAAACATGCCGTGTTGAAAATTATCTACTAAATGTGCCTGTGATACCTAAAACAAAGTTAAGTCAAAAATTTGCAATTTAACCAACACTTAGTTTAATACTTTCTGTTCAATTAATAAAATAGGATAACACTCGATTGTCCTGGCAACTAAACCTGTTTCTTTTTTCAGAATTGAGTTACTGAAACTTCTAATTTATATCATTGTGTATTTTATATGGAACCGAAAGTATTAACGAGTAAATTAGCATAATAAAATAAGATGATAAAATGTATTTATTGTTGTATCGATGTAGGGTAAGAGAATATAGGATTTGATGCCAAAATAATATTGTATTGCTTTTTATAAATATAGTATTAGGTTAAAGCTATGGTAATTACTTTAGATTAAGGCCAAATTTTTCATTATCCGGAAAGTTTTTTCCAGAGATGTTGACGATGACATTAAATACCTGTTTCATTAAAAACTTCAGATAAAACCAAACTAACTGGCGATTGAAAAATTTGCTCTTATTAAATTGTTCCTTTTTATTATGTTTTTAAACCAATCCAAGACAGTGTCATACAAAAATAAACGTCTAATACAAAAAGATTCTCACTAAATATGATTCTTATAACTTGGGATATTTATTTAATTTTATAGGGTTTTGGTGAGATTACTAACATTACAAGAGCCTTTGTTGGTATAATTTAGTCTTTTTTAATGTATGGTTTATATTTGGTTATTACATGCATAACAATGAAACATTACCTTTTATATATTTTACAATTCTTTTAAGTGTTCATGTAAATAGATAGATATAGTTAAATTTAAATTTATATTTAGTGAATTTACGAAATTTGCCTACCCGTCACTGCCTGAAAAAGTTGACCCAATCGGGATTCTAATGTTACTTACATTATTTCAATATTGCGTTTTTATTTCAGCTGTGATAAATTATATCTATAAAACTGTTTACCGTAATATTATCGGCACAACAAAACATAGACCTATATTAAATCTCTGTAGGTAGTGTATATTGGGCCACAGTTCCGTTTCAGTTCCAGCTACTCATTTCCGTTTTTGTCTCGCTCTTATCAAATGGTGATTCTTTGCGAGAGAACGGGTAGCTGAAACTGTAACCCATAGTACCTACCAACATAAATCTGGGTATAAACTATGAAATATTTTTTAACAACGTACTATGTAAATCAAGTCGGGACTCTCACTATTGTGTTAGATTTTATTTACAACTATTGTTGTAGGTAAATAAAATTTAACTAGCTTATCACAGCATGCTTGTGTTCATTTTCAATGCGAACCATTATGTTTTTGTTATTTTTATAATAATGTACAATTATATTGCTGATACTTTATTTTTACTTTTTAGTTTGGTTCGTTAAATAAATAACTAAAATATACAAGAGACGTTTTATTCACACACTGTTGGTGCGAACAGCATTGCAATAAGAAATAATATCAATTTAAGGACAAGCAACTAAAATAATAACTTTACAATGTAAAATTGATACGAAAATATTTTGCTAACTCGCATTTATTGTATAAAATTGACAAGACATCAAGAAAGACAACGTAACACATAGGTATTCGTACAGTTATATGTAGGTACGAGAAATTATATTTACAAGATTTCTAAAATAACTTTTGATGAGTTTCTATAAAATTTCTATACAAAATTAACTAACACATATAATATGAATATACCATATTTTGATGTTATAAGGATGAAAATATAAATTAGTACTACCTAATATCAATACTATGTTTCTCATCTTATTGCTAAAATTTATGTTTATGTTGAACACTGACTTTTCTCAGAGGGTAAATAGCAGTACGAGCCGTGAGTTATGTTAATATGTTTTAATTGAAACATAAATCACAAATTCATGGAGCACCAACTGATTAAACAGAAGTAGGTACCTAAAGATACTTGTCCAATAAAGAACTAAAATATCTGAACAACGAAGTATACATGGGATGTAAAAATTAAAAAGAACTAAAATATCTGAACAACTAAGTATACATCCCACGTAAACTTCGTTGTTCCGATATTTTAGTTATTTCTATTTAGACAAGTATCTTTACTTCTGTTTTATCAGTTTTAAAAACCGGTTTAAAAAAATTGCAAAGATAATATTTATATTTTCTCGTAACTACAAATGACACAAAATACTTATTATAAAACATGAAATCTAGCCTAACATTATCTTAACGTAAGTTCCATCATAGTCATTCGCTGCACAGTGCCCGCAAGTTGGTAAGCGGGGAAAGGTAGGTACTCGAATAATTTTCAATTTTACATGGCGTTTTCTTTCTCTCGCGTGTTACTTTGCCATTCCAATTTGACTGGCCCTGCACATACTCGTAATAAGTCTCTAAGATATTGTCTTCCGTGCATAATATCTTGGAAATGCACTTCTAAAGGCCGTCGAAATATTATCATCAAACATTTTACTAAAGTATCTTACTAAATACATTTATGACATAAATTGCACGAAGAAATTTTAGTGGGCAAACACGAATAAAACGTTGACAAACAATACAAGTAGATATTATGTATTAGACAAATTAGGTGAACAATAATGATTTATGAATGTGAATAACTTTTCAAATAACAAGTAATTTGAATTATAACGGGACGGAGGAAAATATTTATTTAGGCCGGTCTTAATACGGACACAAATAGGAATGACTATCCGAAGAACGGGTACACACAAAAATAACAACAGCTAGAGATATTTTTATTCGAACGAAGATGTATCCAAAGTGACACCGGCCTTATAATCTCAGATAGTCCAATAGAAATCAATAAGTTAGAAAGACTGGGGTTTAAACTTCAGCTCTATCCCAAAAGTTAGTTAACAATTTGGAGGGTAGATGTACATTTCTTAGGAGATGGGAGGTTTCAAACTATTTGAAAATATCTAAACCTAAAGGGCCTTATTATAAAAAAGTTAAACCCGGAACTAACACTGGTTTAAAATGACATTAAATTTCCATACTAAATGTCAATTAAAACCAGAGATCAACCAGAGCCTAACTTTTTGTAATAAGGGGGAAAGAGACGAGAAAATGTATTTTATAGAAATACACTCGACATCAAATAAATCGCACCTCCCGCAACAAGCATTTTCAAACGTATGCATCCCCACTTCCCACAAATATTGGCACCATTTAAAAGCCTAGTTCTAACCTTCATTTCATAAAAGGAAAGGTTTTTACCCCAAAAATGTGTCTTTAGAAGGATCCAGAGTCACTTCTTAAAAAAATAGGTAGTTACGCTACTAGAGCCAACTTTTATGGCTATAAAACTGTTAAGTTGTGATTAATCGCTATCCATCTGTTAAAGACGACACGTGAGATCATTATTTGGTTTTATAACCATAAAAATTGGTCTAATTGATCCCATATTTATTGGGCTTTTAAATAACACCAATATTGTTGGTGCACCATGATTGTGTCAGAAGAAAATCGTTAAAGTTCGCGTCGCGGAAGGTGCGGTTTATTTGATGTTGAGTATACTTACATTCACTTAATTACTATTCAACTATACTTGTATAAAATGTTATTAACAGCACACAATTTGCATAAATGAAATATTTCGCAAATATTTAATTCAACAATTATGGTATTTATGAATGTGATAATGAATAATCTTGGTGATATTTTTCGCAATTTTACACACGCGTAATTTCCAATAGAACACAATTTCTTATGAATCTTATGCTAACTTCGTATAAACTACTAGGTATCGTGTATATAATATTATCAAATATTTTTTTCTAGATATAAAATAGTTGCTTGGACACAGTACCTTTATACCACGTAGGATGTAAGTACCCTATTCATATGCAGGAAAACATTCCAAGCATATTGTAAATTTTATAAGAACTTTAAATGTACTCGGAAATATAATTTAGCCTAGGTAGGTATTGGGAATGTAGCGGTACCGAAGTCCAAAAGTAGTCGTTGGTGTTATTCGTAACAGTACACATTACATCATGTACATGGAAGCCCTAACCTTACGATCGTCGAAGTAGAGAAAGTTATAAGTAAGTATACACATAAAATCTGTGTTGCAAAAATTACTCAAAATACATAAAACATGTTTTTAAAAAGTATCTATATGGTTATAATAATTTTATTAATAGCGCTTTTGTGCTTCTTTTTGATGTAAGATCATGGCACTATCTGTTTATAAATCTGTTATTAAAGTAGTAAAATAAATCATGATAACTCCTTGGAAAAACAACATTCGTTTATATTCTTATATGTATATGATTTAAGACGCAAAAGTAATTCTATATCTATCAACACTTCGACGATTACTAAATAAAACATAAAAAAAATAAAAAACAAGTTACAGCTACGAAAAACAAGGCACTCCGAAGGAAACTCACCGCACGGCGAGGTGCTGCAAACAAAACTTAAGCAAACCAAGGAAAATAAAAACAAACAAAAAATTAATGAAGAAATTTATTGTATTAACTCTTACCTCTGGAAATAAATAAAAACTTTATGAACAAAAATTTTAGAACCACTATGTTTCGAAGGCTACAAATTTTATACATTACAATATTTTTGAAGATCATTGACGCCCATCGTAATGTCTGCTGTCAAGTAGTAAAATCTATTCATATTCAATTTCATCGTGAGATTATACAAATGGTTATAACATTTGACTGTTCAATAAATTATAGATAAGTCAATGAAAAAAAAGGATATATATTTATTTATATATTCCAAAATAAAAAGGTATTTGAACCCATGCCATGTAGATAAAATTTAAACTATAGAACACAGAAACGCTTATAAGAAACCATTATATGCGGGGCTCTTTTGAGTACATAGAAAGTCATGAGTATTGTTTCTACAACGAAGCAAATTTTTGTTAGTTACGATAACGGAACATATTATTATGTCCCACCCATCACATAAAGCCAGTAAGTACACATAAACGCGCTCTCAATCATTCTATGTTCTAATTAGTTTATCATTTCAATAAAATTACAAAATGAAGCAATGAAACAAAAATGTTCACTTTACCATTAACAGTTGTTTCGAATTTCTAAAGCGTGTCACGTTCAATAAAATATCGATGTTTTTCTTAAAGTCACCTTTGACTAGTGCGTCATTTGAAAATGTGGGCGTATTGGTAAAATTATTAAGGTGTTGTTGTTTGTAGCTATGATCATCGGACGCGGACGAAGCTCTGATGATTTTCATGGCCTTTGAAAATTGTTTGAATATTTTAGTTTAATGAAACTTGTGCAGAGATTTAAAACTTGAGAAGAGAGTAGAAAAAGAGAGAGAGAGTTAATAAGAGAATTACTAGAAAGGTATGGATAACAGCAACTGCCTTGATCCACAATGGATTATAATGTGGCACTGAAATTGCATGTGAATACTAAATATACTGCATACTTTTACAGAGCAGTCGGCAACAATATTAAGTACCATCATTAAGGGCTATATTTCACCGGGACACCATGGCGGCGCAACCAGTCGCCGGCTACCAACAAAATGTATGCAGCTCTATAGAGATTTTATGCATGAATCAGAGGTTCGCGGGCCACCAAAAATCAGAAAATTGGATACTGAATGAACACGACCGAAAACAACAACAAACATTCGCAAACCCAACGCGAACAACTAAACGTGTAAACATGATCTAAGGCGTGCAAAGTCGATATATCACATTCCAATTCATTTTACTACTGCTTACAAAAATCTATACATAAATATATAAATATCATTATCCATTCAATAATTCGAGATACATACATATAACTACACAAAATTATAAAAGCGGCGCGGGCCGCGAAAACGTTTTAATAATGACTAACCTACTTTATTACACTTATCTTTTTAGGAATACATCGAAATATAAACACAAAAGGACACCTCGAGAACAATATGATTATTAAAAACACAATCCATACATCCATATCTCGGCCCAAAACTGAAGGTGCGATATTAACATTACAGCAAATGGTGGTTCAAAACATAATCGCTGTTCATAAGTACATTCGATGAATAGATAAGTACACAATACTATGTTATATATAAATAATCAGGCACTTTTAAAGATTTAATTGTGATTCCCGCTCTAACAACTAAAAAGAATAGAGTAACTTCATTTTAACTTAAGAAATTGTTTATGGTACAATTTAGGTATGGTCCAGCAGGAAATGTTTCATACTAACAATGCAACGATGTCAAATGTATATTTTATCACAAATATTTAATTTAACAATTTATAGCATGCAGTGTAATGTGTGGTCATATTTTTATAAAACAAAGTAAATATGTTTGTTGTCCCATATAAAAAGAAAAAATATTTGTCAGGGAAATTATATAAATCTTTATTTATATAGGGATTTTGAGTCAAGTTTAAAGCAATTTATTTTGGACCAAGTACATTATTATAATAATAATTAATTGGCAAATATCATATTTGTATCATACATAACAGTTTAAAATGTCAGCAAAATAGGAAAACCATTTAAATGCATGAAATTGATGCTGTGATGATTTGCAATTCTTCAATCATAACTGATTGAACAGTGAACCGACAGATCGCATTCCATAGGCCATCGAATAAATATTCCATAAACAAATAATTCAATATCAACAAATATCTAATTACATATAGCAAGACACTGTTCTCTTACGACTTACGAATTTTCGCAAAAATTACGGACATATTTTCTACATCTTTCACGTTTTGTTGCGTCCTTAATGTGATGATCAACAATATTAAAATTCAATAATACTAATTACACAATAATTATTATAATGGCGCATTACATTAAGACAGTAGGCCGTTTGTGACAAGTGGCGGCGACTACATTGTCGGGACTCGGTCGATCACGTCGCGAGGACGAACTCTAATGACTTAGGAATATCTAAAAACAATCAATAATGCTTCTCAGTAGAAAACATTTCAATAAAATAGTTTAGAAAACGTAATACATCTCTTTTTTATTACTTTTTTATATCAAATTTACGTATAATCATCATAAATAACCCAAAATACATTAGATAAAATAAAAACACGCATTATTAATTGAAATGTATTTCTAACCATTAAAATGAACACCCCATATAACTCTGTACATAACTTCAAACTCTACTAAACAAGAGCGACTCGAGTACACAATACAGCGTGAACTTTAAAACAATACATTAACGGTTCCACTTAATTTACATTTAATCTCCGTTCATACATACACGTCCCAATATACCCGATCGGTCCAGCGATGGCCAATGTCTGTTGACAAATCAACGTCGTTAGTCACCTATCAGCGTATCTACTGTCGAATACTTGTCAATATCTAATATAGGCGACACGGTTGTGTGTAGTGAGTTTGTAGGAAGCGTCTGTGTGAGTGTGGCAGGCGTGGGGGTTACTTGGACAGTTTGCTGATGACTCGGATCAGGGCCCCGTTCTCATCCTTGAGCCGCTGGTTCTCCGCTTGCAACGCCTGCTGATACTGAAAGCCATACAAATAACGCCATTGAACGCATTTACTCATGAAAAGGGACCACAAATACTGCTGTGTGAAGTGGTAGTTTCAAAATATGCATTCTAAAAACAAGAGGTACGAAGAACTGATTTCAACCAGGTTTATATTACAATGAGGGGCTTGTAATGTGACAAGGAAGTTGTTATAACTCAGCAATTTTCAATACGAATATTAAAAATTGCCCAGACAACAAAATTCAAGGAAGCTATCACATTATGTACAATGGTGCGGTATGCGGTGGTGTTAGGGTATTTACAAACTAAAGCCATTTAGCAGACCTAAAAATATCTAAAATTCAGGATTTAGTAATATGTAACTGACATTTCTCGCACTGACATAACGAATAGGTATTCATCATGTATTTTTGAGGTATTTCTGTGAGACCAACTTAGTGACTTACTACTGAAGAATTCAATGTATCCTCTATTGTTTATATTTTTTATACGTCTTTAATGCGCACTGCATTAGAAGCAGACTCCCAATTATTTGTTGAGAAATAAAGCCTACGTAAAATTAAAGCTCAGGTAAATAATATCTTAAGTAGAAAGAGTTAAGAACAATTTATATCCTTGAAAATATGGCGACATAGCCGATATCTTATGGCCTCGTCTCCAATCTTTTCGCCTATCCCTTAAGAGCTTCTGAACAGAACGAGTATCAACTTTATAGTAAACGATATTGTGTGTTGTGTGGTAGTCCTGTGTAGCCATGGTATGGAGCATGCAGAACACGGCAGCCAGAATGTGATGTTGCATTTCGCTTGCTGTGTAGCAGCATTTATGACATGGAAAATCCTTGGAGATGTAAAATTTTAATGTTCATGTGACGGATTACCACCATGCGGTAGTGTAAAAAGTAGTTTTTTAAATATTTACATGACAGTTAGTAACAGTGATGACGGAGAAACAACTGTCATCGCAATAGAACACTTGTTGACAAATTGACAACATTATTTTTGCAAACGGTTGGAAGTTCAAAGGATTGTAACACTTGCTAACACAACACGACGCGAATCGGAAACGCAAACGCATTAACCTTTATGGTCCTTTATTCATAAACAGTCACTATAACATCCATCAAAAATTATTAGTTTAGGTATATGATACAGATAAACTAACCATAGTAACCATATAACTTACTGTAAATATTTCTGGTCACTTTCACTGTTTTTTAGAATAAGATACATTTAGTTATTGTACAATGTTACTTGTACATGTACTGTGTTGGAAATAACCAAAACGTGCAAGACTTCCATTCGGCTGATATGCTCATGTTCAGCGGAGGACATCCTAAGATTGATATAATTTTTGAACAATCGACAGCACATTAGAGTAGACGTATTTGGTGCAAAATAGCCACCAAAAGTGTGGTTACGATCCAATTTTATAATCCAAGTCAACAGTATGAAGGTCCAATGGAACATTATCTGAAAGTAGCTGGTTTATGAATAGAGGCCTGCGCCCGCGCACCGACCGCAAGTTAGACACGTATCAAATCATGCTGCCATAGCACACGGTTAGAATACAGCGGGAGGGGTCGCGACAAGCCGCGGTGCGGTGTTCGACGGGTAAGCTACGATTGCAGCTCAATTTTTGCTCACGTACACTTAATCACGACGATATTGTTCTTATTGACTGCTATTTTGTGAGTTCCAATGTGTTTTTTCTGGATGTCCAAATAAATAAATCCACATAATAAAATACTTAAAAGCGAAATAGCACTGACTAATCACGACATCTCAGAAACAACACCTACAAACTTGAAATTTGGCAGGTAGGTTCCTTATAGGGTGTAGACATCCTAAGGGGAGAAAATGGGATCCACGCGTACGAAGTCGCGGGCGGCCACTAGTAACATTGACAATCATGACGACCAAGATCACTCTGTCAAGAGTGTGACGACTGAGAAGAAGATTCTTAGCTCGAGATTTCTTATCAATTCTCATGATATAACTATAAATATTCCACCATTTTCAATCAATCTTAAATTGGCATCAAATTCAGATGACTAATGAATTGCGGTGAATATTAAGTACTTCTGGGGCTGTCATGATATTAATTTACTGACGGCTTTACAATGACTCATTCTACGGTACACCTATAAAGCATATAGGTGAAAGAAAGTTATGCAGAACCGGTTCATGATTATGTAAACAATGAAACTGTAATTAATAATATTGAAGAGTTTTTCATAAAAGAAAATAATAAAATTTTGCAATGTAATAAAATAAGTGTAAAATAATGAGGCGTGTGAGCAAAATTGTTGATGCTGAAAGTGTAACTTAACACAGTCGTCAAAGCACTATTAACTAATAGTTTTCTCACTCACAACAATACTTCCACTTATGTACTGAAGATACGTTTTCTTTTATATTTTTGTTATGATTTAAAAAAAACCCATACACACAACTATGAAATGTCTGGTTACATTTTAAGAATCGTAAGTAAGCAATATAGTAAGAGTAAAGGTTCATGACGAAAATGGACGATCGTGAAGCATTATATTTGCGAATTCAAACTCAAATCACACAGATATGTTTGTACCTACATTGTTATATCTTAGTTCATAACATTGTCGTAAGTATAGTGTGAGCTCGAAACCTAGAAGCGAATAGTACGTGAGCACGCCGCACCGCGCCGCTAGTGAGCCAACGCTCGGAATGCAGTTACCTATTTTGCGGCAGAGTTGGTCAATTTGCTGACGACCCGCGTTAGGGCACGGTTCTCAGCTCTCAGCCTTTCGTTCTCGGCTTTTAGTTTTTGCAATTGCTATAAAACGAATACCAACATTACAACTCGGTTGATTTGACTATCATGGCGCCACTGCGACAGCCGCCATTTTGAGGATAACCGTTCAAAATTTAAAAGACGTCATCGTCTATTTTTTAATATTAAAGTGTTGTGTGCGATAGTGTACAGTTGTAATATTGTTAAAAGTTTGCCATTACCTTGAGTTCTTCTTCCATCTCAGACAGTTTCCTTTCCATAGCTCGCTTTTCCCTTTTCTCGATTTCAGATGATGAATTTTGATTCTGGAACCAGAGAAAATGTCTCATAAGTATGACAATTATTAAAAACAACAATAGTAACTCGCTAGCCACAATCGACATTCGCATATAACACAAAAAGTAATGATTTTTATTTTACGGTTTATTATAATGTGTTCAAGATCAGCAAGCAAAGGACAGCGTACAGCAAAAACAAAAACGTTAATTATAATTCATTTTATAGTCTACTAACTCAAAATAATTAGTTATGCATTCCTCGATGGAACAGTTTTTTGTGCTTGCGCAATTAAGAATTTTTAGTTCCAACAAAAATCAGATTATAACACGAAATAATCATAATAATTCTTTTGTCTCTCTACTTCAAATCGAACTATATCAAAATTAATGAACAACTTTCAAGATACCTTATTATGATGACAAGCAACTGACATTAGTGTAGTTTGGCCCATTTGTGCCAATTTGTTACAGACGTACAAAAACATATAAATAACATAGCGTAATGTTTATTAATCAGCATAATAAGTCCTTCGTTAAATTAATGGTGCGGCTTAGAAATCTTCTGTTGGTAACCATAGAAATGTAACGCCTAGAAACCGAGTAGACGCAAGAAGTGAGGCAACTCAAACTAGACATCAGCTTAGTTCTTACATACGTTCTGACAGTAGTCAAAGTCAAATGATATTATTATTTTTGCCTCACTTTTGACGAAGCACTTATATGAAGATAAAACACAAGGATTTGATTATCCCAAGAATCGAACCTGGGATTTAGCCTTAGACTTAAAATACATAGCTTAAATAAACAAAACAAACACATTCGCAAATGCAGAACTAAAGCTCGCTCAGCTATAGGACAGTCAAAATTTGGCCACTCGCAACTCTCACGCAACATCACACTTCTAGTATGTACTAATAACTAACAAGACAAGTGCAAGTACATAAACATTGGTGAAGGTCGGTTTTAAAGACCTTTATTTCGTCAGGCATAAGGTTGGGTTTGTTGTCATGTGCCAGTCAATGAGTGGAGTGAAGTTCGGTCGACAGGTGGTGATAATTAGTGGGCCGGTGGGCGGGTGTTAGTCAAACGTTTAAAATAGGGAAATGAGACTCGTGGCTAATATGTTCGGTGTCACGGCCGTCACCGTACATGGCCGGTCCAGATTATTTATGGCAGACAGAATAATCTTGTATTATATTCGTATTAAAGTTATTGAATACAATTCGCCAAACATGCTTTAGCAAATAACCATATGCTAGAATAAAATGCAGCGTACTCTTTCTAATTAGTGGTCCACATCCAATGCTACTTGTGGAAGGTCAGGCTACGAGCACCTTTTGTTTGTCAACATCATAATTTTATTATGACAGTTTGTGGACTGGAACCATATGGATAGTCACTGGAATGAATCGCGTGCTTGAGCTTAATGATATCTTTGCATGGTCTTTTGTTGTTGTCGAAGGATGATGAAAAATGACTTCTTTTGCCAGGAGCATGGCTTCCTAGAGAATATTTTGCATAACAGTTTCTAGTGCGTTCGGTGGCAAAGTGATTAGTTGATTACCTAGCTATACATTCGGCCTGAACCAAAGGAGGATTCAAGGCAGACAAGACATGCTCATCTGGTGGTACTCGTTGAAAGCACTGGAGTAGCCGTTGCTTCGACGACTGAAAAATCTCGCGGAGGTAGTGTACCTAACTCGAGGAAGCACTTTGAGGGACTTTCGTGAACCTTGCTCCTAGTGTTGCTGGGACGTGTTATCTTGAGGACGTCTCGTGCAGCTACTGTTACGACGTGTCGAGGACGCCTCGTGCGCCGCGGGGCGCCGCTAGTCTACTCATGGGAGCGTACCACTTGCGTGAGCCTGGTGATGGTGGCGCTGCTGCCCGGACGCGTCGAGGACGCCTCGTGCGCCGCGGGGCGCCGCTAGTCTACTCATGGGAGCGTACCACTTGCGTGAGCCTGGTGATGGGGGCGCTGCTGCCCGGACGCGTCGAGGACGCCTCGTGCGCCGCGGGGCGCCGCTAGTCTACTCATGGGAGCGTACCACTTGCGTGAGCCTGGTGATGGGGGCGCTGCTGCCCGGACGCGTCGAGGACGCCTCGTGCGCCGCGGGGCGCCGCTAGTCTACTCATGGGAGCGTACCACTTGCGTGAGCCTGGTGATGGGGGCGCTGCTGCCCGGACGCGTCGAGGACGCCTCGTGCGCCGCGGGGCGCCGCTAGTCTACTCATGGGAGCGTACCACTTGCGTGAGCCTGGTGATGGGGGCGCTGCTGCCCGGACGCGTCGAGGACGCCTCGTGCGCCGCGGGGCGCCGCTAGTCTACTCATGGGAGCGTACCACTTGCGTGAGCCTGGTGATGGGGGCGCTGCTGCCCGGACGCGTCGAGGACGCCTCGTGCGCCGCGGGGCGCCGCTAGTCTACTCATGGGAGCGTACCACTTGCGTGAGCCTGGTGATGGGGGCGCTGCTGCCCGGACGCGTCGAGGACGCCTCGTGCGCCGCGGGGCGCCGCTAGTCTACTCATGGGAGCGTACCACTTGCGTGAGCCTGGTGATGGGGGCGCTGCTGCCCGGACGCGTCGAGGACGCCTCGTGCGCCGCGGGGCGCCGCTAGTCTACTCATGGGAGCGTACCACTTGCGTGAGCCTGGTGATGGGGGCGCTGCTGCCCGGACGCGTCGAGGACGCCTCGTGCGCCGCGGGGCGCCGCTAGTCTACTCATGGGAGCGTACCACTTGCGTGAGCCTGGTGATGGGGGCGCTGCTGCCCGGACGCGTCGAGGACGCCTCGTGCGCCGCGGGGCGCCGCTAGTCTACTCATGGGAGCGTACCACTTGCGTGAGCCTGGTGATGGTGGCGCTGCTGCCCGGACGCGTCGAGGACGCCTCGTGCGCCGCGGGGCGCCGCTAGTCTACTCATGGGAGCGTACCACTTGCGTGAGCCTGGTGATGGTGGCGCGCGCCTCACGCAGCTGCTGCTCGGAGGTGTCGAGGAGCGTGCGCAGACGGAGCACCTCCCTCGACGAATCCTCGTACAGCTTCTTGTAGTCGCGGTCCTCGCGGTTCTCGGTGCGTTCGCTTCCGGACTGGAACAAATAATTCATAAAATCAATGATTTAATTGAACTATCTGCATTGGTGACTGAACTGTCCGCAAAGTAAACACAATAGTCGTGAGTCATTGCGACTCACGGAACAGGGAAGTTCTGAACTACTTTTATAAAGAACCACATTTTCTCTAACTAACATGCTTTCGTAGTTTCCGTATTGTCAGCTACAGTCATTCCTCATTTAAGAATCAGAAATATAAAATTTCACTAGACGCCATTTTGAGAGATCGCTACCAAAATTGGTACCTTTGTTATGACTTGTTTTATTTAAGAAAACTTCATATTCTATCAACGAATATAGTAAAAAAAAAATATTTTTTTTATATTTACGACAATGCATCATTACTAGTGCCTTCCGCGTTCTGCTTCACAAAATCAAAAGAAAGACGAACACTGGCGTTTTATACCAGAATCAAAATTTACTTTGATGTTAAGTAGTATTGCAAATGCAAACCTTTTATACCAGTGGGACCCTAGAGGAAATCGATTAAACGGGGTTTTTTTTTTGTGAAACGAAACAACTTTTCATGGGGAGCAATACTGAAAATATGCTAAAATTGTAGCTCACGAGTTACTTTACTGCTCGGATCATTGCCCCAAAACTCGACATGAACATTTTTCTCGGAAATAAAGACGGACGATTTTTATTCATTATCTATTTTCACTCACAAATCACAATGTACCTACAACATGCTGTTTCCGTTGTGCCAAATTGATTTATAGCGTTCCGTTTACAACTGTTTGCGACAATTTTATTAGATCCTACGCTTTAAAGGCGGGTGCATCTATCTATGTTACCTAACAATATTTCCATAATTCTAAACTAAACGCCTTAAAGCAATACTCACTACGCATTTACGGAACTTCAAGTGTTATGAGCAGAAACAGAACTCGAGATCATCAGAGTCTAAAATAAAAATATAATGACACATCACTCTTTATAACTGTTGAAATGTATGGTCGGTTTAATGAATACGTATCACTGTATTACATCTACTTGCGGCATAATTATTATGTGAGAATACTCCGTTAGACTTGAAACTAAGCACACTTTGTTCAAAAAGCGATTGTTTCACTCGATGCGCGAATAAAATCTTATCGTCAAGTTGTTGAAAGTTAGATATTTTATTAAACACCTTAATTAAAGTAAGCAGTTCATCCGTCGTTATCGTCCGCTGCGTTAGCTGTTTGTAATTGGTAACGAAGAAAAAATTTAAAAATGCTTTAAATGAAATAAGGTTACGTCTAAAAACTTCTACGATTAGCTGTACCCTAGAAGTAACACATTGTAGGTACTTGAGGCCTTGTTTAATTGACCTACAAAGTATATCTGAGAAGGGAGCGAATAAAAAGCATTATCAACATACACAATATCCATCAGAAGCGAGCGAATTTAAGCTCAGACTTCTAGAGTTGAGACCTAGGCCAGTGTCCAGAGAGTTCAGCGACCGGGACTTTTCCTTGTCGAGGTTGCTGTGCTTTCGGTTCTTGCGCTCCGGCCGCACCGGCGGCACCGGCGACACATCAGGCACTTCCACCGGCTCTGGCACTTTCACGGGAGCCGCCGGCACCGGCTTGGGTTTAAAGTTCTTTTGACTAGCCAACAACTTTTTGTCCAACTTTTTTAGCACTGGCGTCATCAAATTCAGAGAGCCTAACGTCGCCCCGCTCAGATACACACCCCCATACCCTGAGCTGGTGCCCCCGTATATGCCTAGGTTGGAAGACGCGCGGCCGAAGCCTGCTGTGTAGGGATTGTAGTTTCTGTAGGCGGCACTGGGGCTGGAATAGTTGGAGTAGCTGTTGGAGTATGGGGTGTTGTACTGTCCGAGCACGGATCCGAGCATGCTGGGAGACGAGCCATAGTGCGAGGTGAGGCTCCTCGGGCGCGAGCTATACCGGTCGTGTTTCCGACTCATCGTAACACATGTCCCGCGCGACAAGCGCTCGGTTGCACCGCGGGCGTAACGAAAACACACTGAGTGTTTTTCCGAGTTTTGTTCTCGGCGAGTGAAAATGTTGGCGCCCACGCGCAGGCCGAGCGAGAGAGACGCCAGTGACGCACTGGAGTGAGCAGACAAAAGGGGAATATCCACTCTAGCCCACTTGACACAACAAAATCATTCATTTATTTTATTTTTATCATAGTTGGAGGTTGATTAACAAAAATGAATAAAATATTTCATCGCGAAAATCATTAAGGCCATTATAATAAATCCCAACATTTCATCGAAGAAATTCAGTTTAACTATTTAATATTATGCTCCACATAACAATCTAAAAGAAATATGCTGGCTTCGAAAAGATGATTCGAAACATCGTCCGTAGCCATCACCGACAAACCTGTACGGTCACGTGCGGAAAACATCACACATAAATATAAAGACGGGAACATAGAGAAAACTTTGTCTTAAGAACACACCGACGACTTGAGCTTTGAAATATATTGCCCAACACTTTCGAGCTCATCAATCAATTAACGGTTTCCTTGTAAATTGGCAAGAGGATAGGAGGCCGGTGGTTAATGATTCCGCCCGCCCTGCTCGTATACAGGTACGCACGGTGGTCTAAATATACGTGCGCCCGCGCAAGTCATCCAAACGTAAATAAAAACTGTGCATCACAATGCGATATTAACGGGGGTGACGTCGCCGATTAAAAACATTTAAGTTGTACGCGCTAGACCGCGACTTTTTGTCTTTGTCGCCTATTATTAGAATCTATTTTCAAGTTTACGCGGCTCCGGTTCAGGGGATGACCCAGATATTGTTTTGGAACACTCTTAATGGATCTGACTGGAACTACGCGGGCGAAAGCATCTTAAGAATTGTTAAGAAATAACGTTATTTTCGTTCAACGCTCCTGTTTACTAAGGTGTGGAAACACGGTGGAATGATTGCAGCTGTGATTTTTGTAATAACAGATGTATGCACGTTGCTAATGATTTTAAAATTAACAGTGACATAAGCTAGTATTCGAACTGTATTTAGGCTCCAAGCAGTCTTAAACTGCCGTCCAATAATAATATACTTAGTACATATACAGTGTTTGGGAAACAAAATTTCGTATGTACAATGTTTTGAAGTGATGACGTCACGGGCCATGTGTGCACCGCCGAGACTCGAAGTAGACCGTCACCGGCGGATACGCTAAAAATAATAAAGTATCAAAGTAATATAAAATTCGCGTATGCTCCGTCAAATTTTGTTTTTTGATAGATATATGTATTTATGTATTGCTGATGTAAATTTCCTCTATCGCAAGTGATGTAGGCGTCTGGAGTTAGTTTTTAGAACGAGAAATAGTAGATAAAAAGTTTTATTCGTTCACACGCATGTCTACAATTCAGTCATTGTTCGTAGTGGGTTTTCACTCAACTTACGAGTTTTGTCGCGCCTTTTTTTCATCGTTTTATGTGAAATCATCACTAATTTCATTTAACCTTTTCACACCTACAACATTGAAAACATACACCACAAAAACTAAGAAAACTAGTTGTTACTTGATGTATAACAGTAAAAAGAACTCCAACACCAACAAGATAAACTAGCTCCAATAAAGAAACTCAAGTAAATAAAATATCTTAAAACCTTTTGACTAAATGTGTGTATATTATTTGGTCTACGTTGCACAATATTCCCCGTTTTCTTATGTCAGATTGGATATTCTTAGAAACGTGGCTACGTTTACAAATTACACAGAGAGTATTCGTGTTTGGATTATTTCTTTTAACGCTATTTCGTAAGTAGGCCGTGTATTTTCAGTTTTCCATCAAGACTTCAACTAACGCTAATGAGAGTCCCTAATATCCCTTCGTGAATTTCCACAAACATCATCTCCCCAAAAATGGGCATTCAATCAAGGGCTGATTTTTCAATCGTCGGATAACTTTTATCTGAAGAATAAGTTTGGCACATTGACAGTTTCAGTATGGGAAATATGTCCAAATGACAAGTTTATTCATCAGTTACAAGATATCCGATGATTGAAAAATAAGCCCTAAATGAAAAAAGAAGCATAATTTTTCGGGAATATTGCTCAGCAAGCTCGCGTTAATACTACTTGCAAGTTGACGAATTTAAACATTGACCATTTGCATCGTTAAAGCTTTCTGATACAGCAATCACCGACGTGGCAAACTCCATAAAATTTAGCCAATGTTATAAGGCCTCGCTGAGATATAGAGATATATTAGCTGTAACTAGCCTTTTGTTTCATTCATACCCTACTTCTGAGACATATTCCGCTGCCTCAGTCAATGATACTGATATTTAAAAACTAAACTTTTACACTTCTGTGTCTGAGCACACTTGTTCTCATATCTACGTCTTGTACTGGATGAATTACGCCAATATCAAATCGTGACCAATATTTACGACGTGTTTAATTAGTTAATTAAAAGATCGGCGTAAGAGAAATGACGAACAGTCCCAGCAGTTAAATGAGGTGATAACTTGCAATAAATATCATGATTTATCTTTCACGCTGTTGCTAGATCGTAAAGTTGTGCTTTCACGATATGCCTGGCCTGTGAAATATTTATCTGGCTTAAAATTTTGAATAAAATAATAACTTTTAAAAAACGTAACGGCATTTCCAAAGCTCGATAGATGGAGTCTACACTATAACGACTTTTGAAATTGCTTGAGCCTTTGTAACAACTCTGACAATGAATGGAGAAAAAAATAGTTTGCAGTTCTATACAAGGTTATTTCCCCCAAATCGTTTCAATGGCCAACACTTAAATACATATTGTGAAATTAACATTCCTCGATTGTCTGCATAATGTTTGTTTGCCATGATTTTATCAGAAATCAATGTGTTTTTATTTTAACATTGTGTGTTGTTTATTTTAACATTGTTTACATGCATCTTAACTTAAAAATAAGTTCCTACTTTCTTTGAAGTGTTGTTTTTTTCGGAAACGCCAATTTCAGGCTTGTAAGACCTGGTTATTCGGAGCGGGAGGGTTAGTTG